TTCTCCATTCTCCACGCTCAGCTTTGCCCCTGACATAGTCGTTCACAAAAGACCGTTCACGCTGACTCGGACCTGCCCTAGGCCATCTCAGGACCTGGTTTCGGCGCTGGCGGGCCCGGAGCCAGAGGGCAGCCCAGCAGCGAGCCCAGCTGGAGAGGGCGGCATGGCATTACCGGCGGCAGCTGCTGCTGCAGGGCCTGGCCCGCTGGAAGGCACACCACCGGGGCTGCGTCCGGAAGAGGGTGAGGCAACGGCAACTCCCAGCCCCGTTCCTGTGTGTGGTGGAGCCTCCGGCCAGGAGAGCGCCTCCGGGAGGACAGGCCCTTCCTGCAGGACTTAAGCAGCCAGTCGGGGCGCTGGGCGGTCTCGGGTCCTCTGGGCACACGGTTCAGGAGCCTCTAGGCATGGCTGGGGGCCACCAGCCTCGGATGGGGTCTCTGCAGGGTTAGCAGAGGAACCTGGCTCACTCGGAGTCCTGGCCTGTCTGAGCTGGGCCCCTGGCGACGGGGGAACATTCACTCGGGTGGGAGCCTCGCTGCAGCTGCCCCGGGTGGTCTGGCGCGGGCACTGGTGGCACTGGGAGCAGCTCCATGCGTCCTCTCCACAGCTGCTGCAGAGGCGGGGCGCCCGGCTTCTGGTCCAGACACTCGGCCGGTCCTGCTTCCGCCAGTGGAGACTCCAGGTGGGAGCCGAGCAGCCCTCCCCCCAGAGCTCCCCGACATTGCTGGGCATCGCCAGCTTCCGTCCACCCGTGACTGTACACGGCCACGCCACTTTGGGGCCATTTCTGTGTGTGTCGTTAAAAACGTGTCAGGCTAGTATCCAAAATCAATGCGAGACTTGGTGAGGCCTTGGCAAAACTGCCACTTGCCAGTGTCCTGCTGAGCCTCCGATCGCCATGTGGAGGTGTCCCCATGTTTCTCCTGTAGCCCAGCGTGCTGCCCCATGTGTTCCCCTCCACGCCCCCGAGGGTCATTCCCTGACCCATCCCCTCAGCCTGGCCGAGCGGGGTCTGCGAGTGACAGGGCCTGTGGTCAGGACGGCCTCCCTGTAATCCTCTCTCTCTGGCTGTAGCTGGAGATCAGGCGGCGGGAGCAGCGGGACACAGCCCGGGCCCTGTGGTTCTGGGCCTTGTCGCTTCAGGCAAAGGTACCGGGGCTCCGCATCCCGCCGCCCGGCTCCTCGGGAGAGCGCTGTGCCTTGGTGGAGGGCAGGGCGGGCTGTGGGCACAGCCCCTGGAGGGTCCCAAAGGGAGAGCTGGGCCTCACGTCCTCCCCCTCCCCGAGGTGTGGGCCGCGTGGCTGGGCTTTGTGCTGGAGAGGAGGAGGAAGAAGGCGAGGCTGGAGCGGGCGGTGCAGGCCTACCACCAGCAGCTCCTCCAGGAGGGCACCACCCGCCTCCTGCGGTTCACAGCGGGCATGAAGGCCCTCCGGCAGCAGCTGCACGCCCAGCAGCAGGCGCTGGTAGGCCCAGGCTCCTCTGCCTTGGGGGTGGGGGGCACAGAGGGAGCAAGCGGGACGTGCCACGACCTCACAGAGGCCGTTGCAGGCGGCCCACAGCCTCCACCGGACAGTCCACCGCTGTGCCATGCTCTGGAAACAGAAGGTGCTGGGCCCCAGCCGGGCACCTCCCCTCACCACCACCGCGCCCAGCAGGAGAGTGACATTCAGGGGTCCCCTTCCCGACCACGTCAGCGCTGCTGCTGGAGATGCGGCCCCGGAGACCAGGCGGCCACGAGCCCCTCCCGGGCCACAGGGTGCTCTGCGTAGCCTGGCCCTGGATGCCGGGGACCCCCCGCTCCTGGAGCTGTGAGTAGCCACCCCTCACCTCTTCCTCTTTGCTCCCACCTGGGGCAGAAGCTTGGACTGTCCTGCAGGGAGGACAATGGGAGCCTCCTCAGTGCAGGAGAGCAGTTAGCAAGAGGGCAGCCCTGCCCATGTCCCGCCGACCCTTATAGCCAGGAAACGGGGCCCCCTCTCAGAAACCCCACTTTTTGTGCTCTGGCTCCTGCCCCATAGCCGCACACTGAGCTGCTGCAGCTATTGCTTCCAAAATGCCCGGTGCTGCCTGAGCCTGAGCCTGGGGAAGGTCACCCATGGGGAGGGGCCCAGGCTGGTCCTGCTCTGCTTGCCTCACTCTTCCCCGTCCCCACAATTCCGACCCTAACAAGGGCCAGACCCTGACAGGCCTGTTCCCCGTGATGTGGGACAAGCAGCTGCATCACAGGGTCACTGGAGGTCAGAGGAGATGATGTGGGTGAGGGATCAGGCTCGCTCATGGAGATGCCAGTTCGGTGTGGCCCGGGCCTACCCAAGCTCCCATGTTGACCTTGGGCAAGAGCCGCTCCTCTGGCCTGCAGTCTTCCCATGAGATCGGGGCGTTGGGCTGGATGACGACCCCTTCCCGGGTCTCAGACCCCTCTGCCCCTGGGCAGCCAGAGGAACAGGCCTTGTTTCTTCCCAGCAGTGCCGTCCGCTGCGCGAGGAAGCAGCCCCGACGTCCCAACTTCTTGCTGGAGCCCTTGCAGAGCCAGAGGCCCCTGGAGGGTGGCAGCCTCGGGCGGCAGGGGTAGGTCGTGGATCTTGAGCCCCCAAAGTACATAGTACCTCCATCCAGGGCATGATTTGGGGTCTGAGGGTGAGTGGCCCCCCTTTCCTTCCTGCTCAGGAGGATGCTGAGGCCTGACCAGCTCCTGCCTTCCCTCTGCTCAGGCCTGAGACATTGAGGGAGCAAGACCTAGGCCCAGCCCGGCCCGCAGACCCTTCCCAGACGAGGCCCTTCCTGGAAAAGGCCCAGGCAGCCTTGGTCCCAAGCAGCGCGCTGCCCCAGCCTGGGGCCCTGCCAAGTGCCCCTGGCCTGAGGCTGGCCCCCATGGCGAGTACAGGCCCGCAGCTGCTGCCTCCTTCCTCCTTCATGCCCGGTGGGGTCGACGCACCCACCAAGGTGAGTCCTCCCTGGTCACTTGGCTCCCATTCTTTGGTCCGGCCTTCAGGGCTCCTGTACTTGCTGCTCCTGGAACACCCACCTCAGCAGACACGGGGCCACCGTCTGAGGGCACAGGAGTGGACAGCCCGCCAGGCCCCTGCTCCTGAGGTTACGGATGTCCCAGTTGTGGGGACAAGACCAGCAGACTCAGACTGCAGGTCACGGAGGGCCGTGCAGGCCCTGCTGAAGTTTGGCTTTAAGGAGAGGGAAGTCCTGGAGCTGGCCGGCCGCAGCAGACGTGGGCCGAGACTCTGGTGAGAGGCAGGACTTGCTCTGCTGGGTCAGACCAGTGAAGGAAGGAGCTTGCTACCTCAGGGAATAATGAGTTCTTTCACCGAGAGAAGGGACACTGGGTCCCCTTTGGGGTGAAGCATGAAGTGTTTCTCAACCTGTCAAGTTTGAGATAAAGCAGCAGGCTTGTGAGTCTGGCCTTCAGGGAAGAAGTCGGGTCTGGAAACCATAGTTGAGAATAGAAATCGAGGGGTCGGGGCAGGGAGGAGTGAGGAGGCATGAGTGCTCAGTAACGCAGGCCACAGCCTGGGGCTGGGCCACCCCAAGGAGCTGGTGTCTCGAGAGCCGTGGGAGTGGTGAGGGTGACGGGAGGGGACATTGCTCTCACGAGGGTTGTAGGAGGGCGGCTGGACACTTTCACTGAAAGACAAGGCCACAGCTGGGAGACAGGCAGGGGTCAGGGTCAGGCAGGCTTGAAGCAGCAGCCCGTAGCGGTGCTCAGCAGGCACGGCGGAGGGGGGGCCAGACTGCAAAGGTGTGTGGTGTTGCTTGGGGGTCGGCCTTGAAGGAAGAAAGGCTGGGCCTGGCCGCTGGGTGAGCTGGCCGCTGTGAAGCCCAGCTCCTGGGGCCTCCTTGACCCTCCCTGCAGCGGGCAGCCTTGGCGCCTGTCCCAGGCTTCCTCCAGCTTCTTTGTGTCCATCCTTTACAGGCACCAACATGGCTGACCTCCCCTGGCCTTACGCCCCAGGCCCCGCTATCCCTGGCCAGTGTCCCCGACCCCCGTCTGCTCCTTCCTGAGGACCTCACGGGTGGGCCTGGCTCTGAAGCTGCAGGTGTGCACCTGAGGACTGCCAGCGCCTGGGTCCCCTCCCTTCAGCCTGGGCCCAGCTGGGAACGTGGTCAAGATCAAGTACATTGTCCTGTTGCCCTGGGCCACAGCGACCTGGAGGCTGAGCTTGAGGGCATCCAGCGGCAATTGCAGGACTACCAGAGCATGAAGCAGAGCCTCCGGTAAGGCCCACAAACACCCTGCCCACGGAGCAGCCGGGGGTGCTGCGGGGGCCCTGGGGCGATTTACCTGCCGAATCCTGCTCAGGAAGGCTGTTGGCCTTACCTGTGGGGGGCGAACAAAAAAGCTGAGCATAAGTAAACACGACTGGGCCACGTGAGAGCTGGGCCAGCCGTCTGTCCAGTGACTGTGATGTGGGAGAAGCTACAAAGACCAGCCTGGGCCCCAGCAGCGGCCATCTTGCTTGTGGTCTAGTCCAGAGCCTGTGCCTCCAAGGCCAGGCTAGAGACCCTCCCCATGAGCAGCAGCCTTGGAGGAACAGGGAGGGTGAGGGGGACAGTGTGGAGGCGGGGCAGGAACAGAAGCACGTGCTTCACCCCAAGCCTGAGCGCCACCGACGCAAACAGCGGGCATCTCACCCTCAGGTCCTACCAGCGGCAAGCGAGCAGCCTGCGCCGGTGGCTGGAGCTGAGCCGGGAGGAGCCCAGGCCTGAGGACCAGGAGGTTGAGCAGCAGGTGCAGGAAGAGCTGCAGGAGGTGAGGTCCCGGGCCGCCCTGGGACGGGCTCTAGCCGTGCCTCCTCTCAGCACGTCCCTCCCTGCCCGCAGGTGGAGCTGCAGGCCCAGCAGCTGGCCGTGGAGCTCCAGGCCCGGCGTCAGCCCGTCCGCGCCTGCATTGCCCGTGTCCAGGCCCTACGGCGGGCACTGTGCTGAGCCCATGCCCAGGGAGGCCTCAGCCCGCCTCCAGGAACAGAATGTGAAGTTAAAATGAGTTGTTTTAATTATTTCAAAATGTTGCAATTACATGAATCACTGTTCAGAAGTCTCCCACTTTTCATACAAAAATACTGTGCTACTGATACAGTTGAAAAGTTCAAATGGCTTCTCCTGCAGGAGAAATGCGGAGTCCCCAGGAGCCGGGAACCCTGGGCCATCTCGGTGGCTCCCCAAGGACGCATGCCCACCCTTGGGACAGGGTTTCTAGGCACCGGCCCTGCCTTCCACCCAGTGCACCAGGGCTCCTCTGCCTCCCGCATACGCCCCCGAACCAACAGCAGCAACTTCCCCTACTTATGGAGGGCTGGATCTTGGGGAGAGAGACCCAGTTCTCCCCTAGCCCGTGTGGCCATGACTACCTGCCTGCCCCATTCACGGGGGACAGAGTCGGGGTTCAGGAACCGGCCTCGACAGGTCTGCAAAGCTCCTTGTCTCGTCAAACCTGGCTGAGTCGCCCCCAGTGTGAAGAAGGCCTCCCGGTGAGCAGGGGGGCCGTGTTTGGAAACAAAGGAGTTACGTTACAGGCTGGTGGTCCTGCGCGGGGCAGGCGGGCCCAGTCAGTGCCAGGAGGCACCTGTCGGGAGGGGAGGCCAAAAGTAGTGATGGGAGGAGCAGCGAAAAGGTGCAGTGCCACTTACCCTCTTAACAAACCGAGACCAGAGGACGCTCAGCCAGGAGGCAGGGCTCTGGTTTATGCAAATGGGGTTAAACTTCTCGGGAAGGGAATCTGACCAGCCCCACACTTACTTTCTCTTTAGGGTGAGCAGAGGGGATGACGGATGTCTTGGGCATTACCGGCTCTGGCCTCGCCCACTCCTCTGGGACAGCAGGAGCAGAAGTCACCCAGGTCCTGCCTGGTCAGACCCCTGGTCCTGAGAGTCCCCTCCAGACAGCTGAGGAGGTTCCCCTCAAAAACTCGCCCATTTCTGTTTAGGTCCCTCAGCGGCGGCGGCTGGGAGAGGCCCTAGAGGGAGCCCAGGGCCTCCCCAAACCGGATTTTCTGTCCCGCTTTCAGCTTGAAGTCGAAGTCCTTGGGGGCCTCGAAGATGAGCACGATGGTGGAGCCCAGGTTGAACTCGCCCAGGTGCTCGCCCTTGCGCATGGGGATGCCCTCCCTGTTGGCCTGGGTCACGAAGCTGAAGTCGTTGTAGGAGCCCTTGCTGTACCGCGGGCTGTTGGTGTGCAGGTCCTGGGGGAGCAGAGCAGGGCATGTGGAGACGGCTCCCTGCACCTTCAGCACAGCCTGTGGCCGTCCCCCCCCCCCCCCCCCAATGCTTACAAAGGGAGGCGGGACCAGCAGCTCGGCCCAGGGGCCGGGGTCTGACCAGCCAGTGCCCGACGCCGCTCCGAACTAGGCAGGCCACTGAGGGGTCAGACCCGACTGCTCTCCAGCACGAATGAAGGTGCCAGACTGGCACCCGAGGGGGCAGAGCAGTCACAAACTGGCACCAAGAAGGCTCTCCCTCTGGTGCTGGCAGATCTGGCTGCCTGGGGTCTGCTTACCCGGTCAAAGTAGATGCGGATGGAGCCCACGTTGGTGGCCCCCACGGCTGTCAGCGAGAAGAAGCCGTGTTTCCAGTCCCCGGTCAGGACCACCCGCTCGTTGTGGCAGAAGAGCTCTTTGATCCAGCGGGCCATGCCGGGGTTCACAGACATCAGGGAGCCTGCGACGGACAGCGGGACACTGCTGCTCCGCCCGGCGGGAGGCCCAGCCCCCAGGCGTGTGGGGCTCCCAGAGGCAGCTCTGGGCGTGCGGCCTGGCCTACCTGGGAAGTGGCGCCGGTGGGACACGGTCCAGTCGGTGGGCGAGTGGAAGCAGTGGTAGTCCCCGGGGGCCAGGTAGATGACGCAGTGGTAGAGCTCGTTCCCTTCTCGGGTGACCAGCTGGCTCCGGAAGGAGTGGGAGGCGGCTGTCGGGGGGACACGGTTATCAGACGGCACCCATCGGGACACAGGCTCCAAGGAGGCCCAGGGGCTATCAATTCCTACAGCCTTCCCGTTTCTCCTTCCCAACCTTCACCCTCTGACCTCTGGCCAGCCACACTGCAACAGGGCAGCCCGCCAGGACCCACCTGGTGGGAAGGGCAGGTCCTCCACGGAGGTTCGAGGGCCCAGGAAGGCCTCCAGCGAGTAGGTGACGCCCTTCACCTGCTCCACCTCCGAGTTCTTCACCTGCCCGAAGTTGATGATCTTCCCATCTGACGGGCTGATCTGGAAGGGCAGGAAGGAGGTCTTAGTGCCAGGAGTGGGAGGGGACACAGGGCAAGAGCGCCCCCCGGGGAGGCTGCTGGGGCTGGGGGCGGAGTGAGGGCAGGACCAGGCCTCACCACGCTGTGCAGGCCGCACACGGGCCGGGCCTGCGGCTTCAGCTTGCGCCGGAAGAACTCGCTGAGGTTGCGGTAGTGGTGCAGGTCCTCCACGGCCGCCTCCTTCATGTTCACCCCGAAGGTCCAGATGTACAGGCTGTAGACCGGCCTGCGCAGCCAGTGTGGCAGCTCCACCTGGTTAAGGCGACCCCAGGCCCGCGACAGCAAGCGCGTGGGCACCGACTTGTACAACGCCACCTGCGGGCCACAGGTGGGGGGTGGGTGGCCACCCTGAGCCCACTGCCCCCCTCCAAGGGACCCACAGGCTCCAGCCTTCCTGGACCGCCCTCTGGCATCCAGCAATGAACTTAGATTCTGCCCCCTTCCAGAGGCCTTGGGCACCCCACACTGGCTTTGTGATGTGGTTTCTCACTAGGAACCAGACTGAGCTTGCAAAGTGGTCTCACGGACTAATCCTGGCCCAGACCGACACCGGGACTTAAAACTCAGGTGTTCGTCATTTCCCGCAAACCCAACAGCAGCCATCCTAGCCCCCGGGAGAGCCTGCCAGCCGTCTTGTTTCTTGAAGGGGGAGGGGGCTACATGGATCTGACACCGTCACAGACAGGCTGTGGCAGGAGGCCCTGTAGCCCAGTGATCGCCCTGTCCTAACGACATGCACCCCTCCAAGGTCAGGGACTCAGTGTCACTCGCCAAGTCCTGGACACGCCCTGCTGGTGGCCCCTGGGGCTCCTCCCAGGTGGGACAAGGGAACCAGCCTCTCAGGGCCAGGTGACCTAGGTGCCGCTGACATCAGGGATTGCTAATTGGTGGCTGTTACATGAGCAGAACCAAGCCCCCAAGGCAAAAGCAATTTCATTCCAACCTAACCGCCTCCAGGTGCTGAATGCCTGGCTCCCAGAACTCCGCCCAGCTGCCATGTGACCTCGGGTCTAATGTCCAGAGCTCCTAGCTTTCAAGCCTCGTGATACCTCACCTGGGCCGTCCAAGGGCCAGGAGCAGGGTCTCCTCCTTGGGACCCGCCTGCCCTTTAGGGAACAGCCCCAGGCTCCCATGTCCTCCCCACACAGGCATCCAGCAATAACTTAGATTCTTCTCAAAGCTACCTCTATGCTCACTCCTGGAACAAGGAAGTCAGACCCACACCATTTTCTGAGTGCCCATCACGGTTCCTTTTAGAAGCAGAGTCCCAAATGGTGCAAATGCAGGCAGAGCCGGCCCTCAGTCACCTGTCAGCAGGACCACCCTTCAGCACCCGCCTGGCAGGCTCAACCCCACAGCCAGACCCTTCAGTGACAAGGGCCTCCTCGGCCCGCCAGCAGCCTGCACACTCACCCTGCTCACGGGCCTCCATCCCACCCGGCTGAGCGGCCTGAGGGCACCGAAGGGCAGGAGGTAGTAGAGGACCGCCAGGGGCCAGGAGCGCAGTTTCAGCGCGGGTCTGGACATGCAGCTCAGCTGTCCCAGCCTCCGTCGCAGGGCCAGCTGGGGGAAGTGCAACCTGCGGGCAATGGCCACGCGATGGGTCAGCAGCCGGGGTTGGGGAGGGACTAGGAGCCCCACCCACCCTCAGCAAGCTTGCCTCGAGGAAGGCCGGCAGCACCTGCTGTGCCAGCATCCCAACGCCATTCTGAGCCGGTGGCTTGGCCGCCTCTGGTTGGCAGCTCAAGCCCAGCCCTTCACACCTGCCAGCGGCTGGGAGGACAGGTGTCTGTTGGCACCGTCTCTGGAGAAGCGCCTTCTGAACACGGGACAGGCCCTGGGAGCCCTTTGAGGGCTAAGCACCACCCAGCCCCCACCCTCCAGGGGCACCAGCAGGCAGTCTGATCTCCCAGCGCCCCTCGGCATTGTGGGGGGAGCTACTGCTACCGCCCAGAGAACGATGATGGCTCCAGGCCTCTTACTTCCTCCTCTGAGAGGTAAGGGATGGGTCTGACAAGATCACAGAGGAAAACACCCCCAGCTCCACCCATCAGCTTCTCCAAAACCCATCCGCACACCAAACTGCCGGGGGATCTGCCACACCCCTGGCCGAGCCCAGCGCAGCCCAGCCGGCTCAGCTCAGGTGCAGCCTCTTCCCAGAACCCGGGCTCCCCGAGGCCCATCAGGGAGGCCCGCGCCCCCTCGGTGCCGAAGCCCCAGGCAGGAGGCCACACTGCCCCCCTCTGACACGTCCCCAGGCCTCAGTCTCCTCACCTGCAAACAGACTGCCTTCAACTGGATGATCTAAGTCCCCCATCTGAGCCCAGGCACCCCCAGAGGAGCTGTGTCCTCTGCCCCCCCTTGTTGACCAAACCAAGGAACAAAGGAAGGCAGCTCAGCGATACTGAAAGCAGCCAACTCGGAGAACACAGCCGAGGGCCGAGGGCCAGGCTCCGGTGAGCGATGGCACTGCCGCAGCCATGGCTCCGCGGACTCCCCCTCCCCCCAGCTTTTTAAAAGGGTCTGGCTGGTGGTGGGGGCCAAGCAATGCCAGAAAAATCCCCGCTCCCGCCCCTGCCCCCGCCCGCCCGCTCACTGCAGCAGCACGGGACCAATCCTGGAAGGGCTGCCCCGAACGGGGTGGGGGGCCCGGGTGGGGTGCAGAGTGTAGGAGCAGCGCGGACACTGGGCCACCAGCCCGCTCCGCCTTCCCAGTACCTGAAGCGGGCTCTCCGACTGAGGCCCCCAAGGCCGGGCCCCTCCAACCGCGGGGGAGTCCCGGGGTCCCTGCCGCCACCTCCACTTCGGGGCCGCTGGACATGAACTCTGACCTTGTGGAGGTCGTGGCGGGGAACAGCAGGGTTAGGAGGCCGTGGGCAGCATCTCACCATTTCGCCGAGCTGAGCTCCGGCCCTCGCCTCGCCTCTGACTGACACATGGTGGGCGGGCAGGGAGGCGGCGCCAGCCCGGGCGCCTTTGTTCCTCCTCCTTCCGCCCTTCCCCCCAGGAGCGGGGCTGTCACTGCTCGACGGTGGCTGGTGGGCCGCTTCCTCGGCCCTCGGCTCGGAGACCACTGGGCGGAGCAGGGACTATTGCAAAGACAGGCTCTGGTCACACACCTGCTGGGCCTGCAGCACCGGCCCTGAGCTCCGCCACCAGCCCGCCCAGTGACCCTCCGCAGCGTGGGGACCGCCCCCCTGGGCTCGGGAGGGAGCAGGAGCGGGAATCTGAGGGAATCTGAGCCCCGCGCTCCAGGCAGGCGCCCAGCCGCCCAGGCTGCGCCCGGTAGGCTCCTCCCTTGCCAGGACCTGACCCATTTTCCATTCAGGTGACAAAGGAGCATCTGAGGAATGAGGGAGGGGAGGGGGAGAGGTGGGCCTGGTGAGACCCTGGGCATCTGACCAGCCCTGGCTCTGCCTCCGGGGACCCCCATAGTGGGGGCACCCAGGTGACATCAAGAAGACGGGCATGGAGCTGGGACCGGGCCAGGACTGAGCTCATCTCTGCCCACCTCTGCCCTCCCCATGGGTATGGGAACAAGGACAGCACTCTGGCCGGCCGCTAGGCGAGGGGAGGACAGGGCCTCCTCCAAGCCCGTCCGCAGCCTCAGAGAGCAGGAAGAGAGCAAACGTTCCAGGTGGCTGCTGCTCAGCCCTGAAGTCAAGGCCCCGGGAGGATGCCCAGCTGCAGGCCGGCGGGGGCGGGGGCCGGGCCGGGGCAGGGCCGGGCAGCGCGCTCCAGAGCAGCTCTGAAGGCAGAGGACCTGCCCACCCAGGACCCCACATGGCCAACACACTGACCCTGACGGAGGCCCCAACTCAACACGCTCTATCATACAAGCGGGACCATGACACCCAGCAAACCCACCTCAGCCAGAGGACAAGGCCAGCTCGGCACCTGCCAGGTGTGCAGGGCCCTGGGGGCCAGGACCAGGCTGCCTGCCGTCTGGACATGAGCGTGGAGTCTGCCTTGACCGAGGGGACAGCCAAGCCCGGCCCACCCAGACCCCTCCCCAGGCCTCACCCCCATGGACACCCCTGCTTCAGGCTGTGATCTCCAGCTAGATGGTCAGGTCGCCTCAACCACACCACCCAAAGCTGAGCATACCCCACCCTCCCCGTCCGCCAGGCCTCGGCCATAGTGCTCCCCAGGCACAGCCCAGAGGCTGATGGCGGTCGGGCTAAGTCTGGTGCTGGGCTTCCAGGACGGGCTCTCTCCTGCCTCTAGAGACTAGGACGCTCGGATCCTCGGGGGCCAGTGGGGCCTGTGGGAGGGGAGGGGGCCCAGCCGGCCCCTGTGGTGCTCACGGCCGTGGTGGCCACGCAGCGTGCGGTCATGTCAGAAGGGCAGTCAGCCCACAGACAGCTGCTTCTCTTTGTCCTCCGAGCGGAGGCTCCTGCTGGGATTTCATGGTCCCCAGCCCTCCCCTCCTACAGGGGGACAGAGGTGTCCTCCACTGGGAGTGGAAGGGACAGGGCTGAGGCCGCCTGTGAGGAGGAAGAGAGGGCCCACGGCCCACGGGGACGCCTGCCCGCCTCTGCCCTCCCGGCCGTGCTCGGAGCAGGGAGGGCACTGGCCGGGGCCGCAGGCCAGGGGGCCGACATCTTTGCCGGGACATGCTGTCCTGGGGTTCACACTGAGCAGTGCTGCAGTGTCCCCATCGACCTCACCAACCCGGCGAAGGGGCTGTCCCCTCAGTGGGATGGACACCACCTCACGCAGGACGGACTGACCCAGGCCAGCGACCAGCTCTGTGGGTGGGTGTGGGCGTGGGGCGCCGGCTCCCAGGCCCAGGCAGACTCAGTCTGAGTCTCAGGGAGGCCGGGAGCTGCGAGGGCTCAGGACTGGCACCCTCAGAGGTTCTCCCTGCGAACCACACACCGGGCCCAACAGCCGGAGACCCGAATCCGCTCCTGCACCTCGAGTGGGAATCTCCCTGGCACCCCTCGAAGCCTCAGCAGGACCCCAGGCCCCGAACCGTGTGCACTGGCCTGACTTTGTGCCCCCCCCAGAGGGCACAGCCGCTCCCCCCAGCTCCCTGGGTGAGGCGGGCAGCTGTTCCCGGCTAGAAACGGGCAGAGCTGCACGAAGAAGTAGTGGCATGGGTCTCCCCGGGATGTGGGGTGTGGGTGGCCGTCTGGGAGGGGCCTGGGCGAGAGAAGCGGAAGCAGAGATGGCCCAGGGCAGCGGAGGTGGGACAGGGCTCCCAAAGGAAGGCCCTCCTCGCGGGCAGTCCGGGGGCGGGGGTGGACGGCAAGTACTGACCCCGCCAGGTCCCGCTGAGGACAGTGCGGCCCCCCACGCCCGCCCAGGCCTCTGGGGCACGAGGAAGCAGTCGGGCTCTCAGCGCGGGAGGCACTTCCCCTTCCCGGCACCAAGGCTCCGGGAAGCCAGGGGTGCGGAGGAAGTGAGCTCACCCAGCCGGCCCAGGGCTGCCATGCGGCCGGCAAGCCCACCCCTTGGTGGGACTGTGGGGTGGGCTCCTTGGGCCCCCAGGCCTCAGGCTCCAAGCCCTAAAGGGGCCCAGAACCACGGGGGCTGGTGGCCTCCCAGCCTGGGGGGTGGGGTGGGGGGAGCCCAGCTCACTCACCGGCAGGTGGTCCTTTCCGCCGCTTCCGGGCGCCCCGCTGGGGAGACGCTGCTCCGCCACCAGAGCCTGGGCTGGTGAGCGGGGCTCAGCCTCCAGCCACTCAGGCGGGGACAGAAGGGCGGACACCAGACACCGGAGCTGGGCTCCGCCCCCGCCCGGCCCCGCCTGCCAGGGGCCCTTTAAGGGGAAGAGGAGACGGCACCCTGTGGATCGTCAGGGCAGCTGCCTCCCTGCCCCCTGCCCCCCTCTGGACCTTCAGGTGCCTGTGCTTCTCTGGACCAAGTAGACTTGTCTAGCCCTCCACGTGAGAAAGTGAAACAGAGGTATCCGCTCCTCCCCACACCCATCCTGAAGACACAGGCTGCCCCACCCGCTCCCTCTCCTCCAGTTCAAGGTGGGTGGCCGAGGGCGTGGACCGGCTAACAAGCCCTGCGGGCCAGGTGTGCCGGCGGAGCGCTCAGATGGAGAACACGTGGGGGTTCGGGTCCAGCCTTATTTTATTTTCCCATCACAGTTAACAGGCACCATAGTTTAGATTAGTTTCAGGTGTACACAGCATTAGACCTGCTCTCTACCCCATGTGGGGCCAGTGCAGCCACATCCGCAGGCCGCCCAGTCAACATGGATGGGATGACGCCCTGAACATATCCAACCGGGGAGGGGCTGCCAGGAAGACCCTTGGACACCGAGAGGCAGGACTCAGGAGCCCGGCTGCTGTGTGCCGGCGGCCATGTGGGCAGCACGCCACCCGCTGGCCACACCGCCAGAGGCGCCTTCTGGCCCCGGCTCCTGAACAAACCAAGCCCAGCTGTGGTTCCGGGACAGGAGAGGCGCCAGACAGCCCACACCCGTCCTCAGGGGACCCAGCACCTTCTCCACGGCACCCTGGAGACCGGCTGCCCGGTGGAGAGCAGGGAGGCTCCTGTCTCGGGGTGTCCTGGGCACCCCGCACCAGCAGGAGCAGAGGGCTCCAGCATTCTGTGAGCCTGCTGAGGTGGCAGGCCCCTTCTCACCTCAGCACTCCAAGCAAACTCCACGTGCGAGGAGACAAGGAGCTAAGGCACAGAGAGGCCGGCACAGAGTCCTGGCAGAAGGTCCTGGGAGCCTCCAGCACCCCGGGGGCCCACCCAGACCAGCATGAGCCAGTGGGTGGACAGGCCGGGCCCTCACTCGCTGAGTGGAGGCACCAGCACGCTTCCTGGTGAAATGACCAATCAGGTGGCTCCACACCAGCTCCCAGAGTTCATTATGACGCTCAAAGCCCTCAGGGGATGGTGTTCAGAAAGTCATAAAAAAACGCCTCCTCCACCCACGTTCCTGCAGGGAAACGCCTCTGACGCCAGACAATGGCGGACACATCATTTCTGGGAAAACAAAAGCCCTTGTGAGTTTACTTCCCACTCTGAATGAATGGCCCCTTCCGGCCAACTGGGTCCTTCACTTCCTCTGAACTCCCGCGGGTGGGAGTGCCACCTCTCACCACTGGGGGGCTCTGCGGGCCGCAGGCCTCTTGGCCACCAACACGTGAGGACCAACCCCCCTCCGGGTCACCCCCTGCAGCTCCTCTGGCTCACAGGAGCCCCTCCGTGGCTCCGAGGAAGGTGACCCGCAGCAGGACAGAGAGAACAAGGTGCACGTGCAGGAATAAACTCAAACCGAGGAAAGACTTAAGGTCAGACCTGAACCTGAGTCCAGTGAGCCAGGACAAGTGGGCTCGGAAGCAGACGGACAGCGGGACAAGCTGCCGGAGCGTGGACAGCAGACACAGGCCCGAGGAGCCAGCACTCCGCGGGCCAGGCTGCAGGCCGGGGCTGGAGGCACCTCCATGGCTTGCAGGAGGGCCGTGTGGCTGCTTCTTCCCCAAGGGCCCCCCATGTCCATCGGGCCAGTGTCCCCACCACACGCCCCTCTGTCCTCAGGTCAAGGAAGGACTCAGCGGCAGAGACGAAGGGATCTTGTCACCAGATGCCACCCTCACATCGCCTGATGTTCCCAGGAAACCATGCCTGGCCTCCCCTAGGAGCTTCAGGGGCACAGGCCACACCCCTCACCGCTCCTTAGGAGGCGCTTCGGAAGGCTCTGCCCCGCCTGCTGACTTACGGGCACAAGAGGACGGCGCATCTAAAATCTCAACGGCGCAGAAGCCTGTACCCCAGAACCTGGCGCTCTCCGGGCAGATCTGTCCGAATCAAGCTGCCTGTGGGGCACCCAGCTGGTGTGACACTGTTTGCTGGTGTGGGAAGGAACCTTCAAACGACACGCAAACTGGAACTGGTCCCAGAATCCCTAAAAAATAATAATTTACAAAACCCTCCGCGTGCCCGTCCTGCCAGCCTGTGACGGAAGGAGGTGCTGGCTCTGAGGTGGAGAAGGGAGGAGCCGCAGGGAGGATGTCCGTAACCCACGGGGCTGCCAGAGGCCCTGCCCCTCGGAGCCCTGCACACGCCGGTGCTTAGCTTCCAGGAGCCCGTCCAGCGCTCACCAGGGTCAGGAGAGCCTGCTCTGCAGCCGGCCGGGGAGTGCTCCCAGAACGCGGCATGGAGTAGGCATCCCCCCGGTGACTGAAGCTCAGTACTAGGCATCCCCGAGGGCCCCCCCCCGGTGACTGAGGCTCAGTACTAGGCATCCCCGAGACACCCCCCCCCGGTGACTAAGGCTCAGTACTAGGCATCCCCGAGAGCCCCCTCGGTGACTAAGGCTCAGTACTAGGCATCCCCGAGACCCCCCCCGGTGACTAAGGCTCAGTACTAGGCATCCCTGAGAGCCCCCCCCCCGTGACTGAGGCTCAGTACTAGGCATCCCCGAGGGCCCCCCCCCATGACTAAGGCTCAGTACTAGGCATCCCCGAGAGCCCCCCTCAGTGACTAAGGCTCAGTACTAGGCATCCCCGAGGGCCCCCCTTCAGTGACTAAGGCTCAGTACTAGGCATCCCCGAGAGCTCCCCCTCGGTGACTAAGGCTCAGTACTAGGCATCCCCGAGACCCCCCCTTCAGTGACTAAGGCTCAGTACTAGGCATCCCCGAGAGCCCCCCTTCAGTGACTAAGGCTCAGTACTAGGCATCCCTGAGAGCCCCCCCGGTGACTAAGGCTCAGTACTAGGCATCCCCGAGACACACACCCCCCCGGTGACTAAGGCTCAGTACTAGGCATCCCCGAGGGCCCCCCCCCCCCGGTGACTAAGGCTCAGTACTAGGCATCCCCGAGAGCCCCCCTCGGTGATTAAGGCTTAGTACCACGACAGGGCTAACTGGTCCAGAGTAAAGGCCAAGCAGTTTACAACCATCCAGTGAATCAAAGAGCCCTATCGTCTGTAACCAAGGACACAAAGAGTAAACAGTGAGTCTGGCTGGCGTGGCTCAGTGGTTGAGCATTGACCCATGAACCAGGAGGTCACTGGTTGACCCCTGAGCTAACCAACCCCGCCCTCATTCCAGTCACCTTTCAGGTCCTGCCTGTCTGAAGTGGGTGCTGAGAAAACAGCCAATTTCTCCCAAAGGGCCCCTCTCTTGAAATCAGTGGGGTTTCCTGGGACGAGTCAGCCTGACAGGTGCTGGGCCAGAGGCAGCCGGGCTGTAACACGCGAGGGCGGTCACGAGGTCGGTCTCGGCGCGCTGTAATGCTCTCAAGGAAAGAGCGCTCACTGCGGAGACCAGAGGGCATGGGAGCCGGCCGCTGCCCTTCGCCGAGGATAGTGGGTTACCACAAAGGCCACGGCCCATGCCGGCAGACACGTGAGGACAGAGAGACACCTGCCAGGGTGCAGCCACATGGGCTCTGCAGGGCAGTTTCAGGACCGCGGGGAGCCCAGTGAAACGGTCCCGCTGAGTTCTCCTGGAGAAGAGGGTTCTGAGAGGAGGCCTGTGAGCTACGTAGCAGTTAACGCCCACAATTCCTAGATAAGCTGTCAGAGCTGGAGTCCTGTTCTAACCAACTGCTGTGCTGCTGTTTTAAAGTCCTCAAGGACATGCTGGGGGGGAGGAGAGGGGGGAGAAGCATCGGCGTGAGAAACATCATCGGCTGCCTTCGTCCTGCCCTGACTGGGGGCTGAACCTGCGACCTCTGGGTGCCAGGATGCTGCTCAACCGAGCCTGCCAGCCGGTGACCCATGTTTCCAGTTGAGGACACCAAGGCCCAGGCGGAAAGTGACGGCCTGTTCACACTGAGGAGCACCTGGGACTCGCAGACATGGCCTGGACGCAGTGGCTCAGAGGACACCGGGCACCATTCCCAACACCGGCACGTCTTCCCTTCCCCCTCCGCCCAGGCTGCCCAGGCCGATCGCATTGTGTATTTTTCATTTGTTTTCCGTTTCTAAACGGACACGTTTATATTCAATCTCAGCATTTACTGAGGATCCGCTCTGAGTCAGGGACGTCCCGGGCCACGGGAGCACAGTGAGTGAGGCAGCTCGTTACGCATCACACTCGGGTCAGCAGCACTGCAGCCTGACCCCCCCACATGGCCCTATAGCGAGGGGAGCATCTGAGCAACAAGGACCAAGGATCTGATCATTTCAGTCTGGTTTCTGGTGAGAACTTAACCACATCCCCAAAATCCAACCGTTTTAGCTCATCCTCAGCCTGAGAAGGCGAGACGGCCAGGATGCCGGTCCAATGGAAGGCAGGAGCTCGGGGGGCTCCCCAGCAGGACATTCCCACCAGAGCCCGGGGGACCCAGGCAGGTCTGGACAGGAGAGAGAACCCCGGATGTGGCCGCAGCCCATGGAGACATGAGCTCCAGGGAAGCACACTCACTTCTTCAAGCGTTTGGACTGCGGAGCGTGAATGGGAAACCAGGCGTTCCACCTCATTCCTACCTCCCAGGGACCTGCGAGTTTGGGCGGAATCTCCAATCCCAGCTTCTCCAGCTCTTGCTCCCTATACTTCTCATACTGCCGGTAACCCGCGTACCCGCCGCCGCCAGTCAAAACCAGAATGGGCAGGGGGCGCAACCGGAACAAGGCTCGAGCAGGGGCAGTGTGCACTTGTCTGGCATCTGTAAGAACAAAAACCAACAACAGCGACAACGTTGAGCCTGGGAAAGGGACAGGAGTCATGCAAACCCAGTGCCAACAGGGCCGGGAGAAGGCGGTGCATCTCAGCAGCCTCAGGGCAGGGGAGTGGACGCTGAGGGGATCTGACAGGCAGGGCTGCCTGAGCCACTACTCCTGATTCTATCCATTAGCAAGAGACAAGCATCTTTCCTGTGAAACAACAATGCGCCCAATGGCCGCCACAGTCACAGAATGGAAGCAAACACAAACAACAAAGAGGCCAAGACACTAACCCAGGCTGCCAGCCCGTCTCCACAGGTCCGGGCCTGAAAGCCAGGCACCTTGCTCACCAGGCCTCTGTCCTTACTTCAACGATGCACCCAGTTCTCACTGGACACTTCTTACTGGACACTACTGTCCTCAAATGTAAAAACCTCCTAAGCTCTTACAAGTCAACAATAATTTAAAAAACAAGTAAATGTACAAAGGGTTTGAAGAGACAGATCTTTGAAGAAGATACACGAATGGCCAATAAGCACATATTGTAAAAAGAACTTTGTGCCCCTCCCCCAGTTCATATACTGACCCCCTGACCCTCAGTAGCTCAAAGAGAACCTTACTTGGACAGAGGGTCTCCACAGGAACTCAAGTTTAAATCAAGCCATCATGATGAGGCCTAACCCATGACTGGATCCTTATAAACGGGGGGAAGTGGACAAGGACACGCACACAGGGAGAAGGCATGTAAGGGCGAAGGAAGGGATGGGGATGAGGCTTCTGTGAGCTAAGGGAGCCAGACTGCCTGCAAACCACCAGACAAGCTGCATGGAACAGCCGTCAGAAGGAAGCAGCCCCTTACCCCAGACCTCGAAAAAACGAATTCTATTGTTTAAGCCACTGGCTGTGTAACCATCACAGCAGCCCCACAAATCAAACATCACTAGTAATTAGGGAAATGCAACTCCTACCACAGGAGCTGCCGCCTCCCAGCCACTGGGATGGTTATAATAAAATATTAAGCGTTGGCAAGGACGAGGAGAAATTGAACACTCACACACCTGGGGGGAGTGCAAAACAAGGCAGCCACTTTGAAAACCAGCTTGTCATTTTTCTCAAAATGGTAAACATCAAATTACCACCTAGCCCAGCGATTCTGCTCTTAGGTATGTACCTAAAAAAAGTGAAACATACATCTCACAAAAACTTAGACAAGAATGTTCAACAGAAGCTTTATTCATAACAGGCCAGAAAACACCACTCCAAATGTCCACCAACTGAGACCGGATAAACAAGAAGTGGTGATCCATTTTCAGTGGGACCCTATTTGATAATGAAAAGGCATGAAGTATTGACAAATGCTACAACATGAACCTGGAAACATTCCGTAAAAGCCAGCCACAGAAAGCTGTGTATTGTGTGATTCCATTTATGTAAAACTAGAGGCCTGGTACACAAAATCTGTGCAAGGGGCTTGTCCCTGGCTTCATCCAGAAGAACGTCCGGAAAGTCGTTCGGCTGTCTGGTCTAATTAGAATATTAGGTTTTTATTATTATAGAAATCCAGTATAGGAACCATACCATAAGTGATTAGTGATTGCTTGGGGGAGAGGGAGAAACGAGGAGGGACAGTTTATGGGTCGAGTGTTTTCCATGGGAGGGCAAGGAGGAAGGGAAAATGCTCTAGAATTAGTGGTGACAGCTGCACAACTCTGTAAATACACTAACACTACAAACACGGAGATGCACACCTAAAAGGGAGAATCCTATGGTGTGCGCATTACTGATCAATACAACAGTTATTAAAACCAAGTCTCGGGAGCTGACTTCCCAGTCGCCTGGCAGAACCAGAGCACACCCTTCGTCCGCCCACTCCGGGGAAGGAGCGCCCTGCCCTGCTCCCTCCTCGCTGTCCCTCCAGTGGTGCTAGCTGCTGCTGTTCCTTCTTCAGTGAGCAGGTGAGGGGTCACTAATCTCCTCCACCCTCTGATGATTCCCGCTGGGCCCTTAAACACTCTACCTCTGACAACCAAGAAGCATTTGTCAGAAAGCAAGAACACTTTTCTCTCTTCCTGGAATATTAGGTGATGAGAAAACTTGTATCGTCCCTGCACCAGCCCACATCCTGGCCTGACTGTTCCCCTCACTGAGCATGGCGGGTATTTCCCAGATTCTCTCTCTGGCCTCTCCAAGGCTTGCCTTACTCTTCCAAAAGGAAGCAGTGAGTAGCGAGCGCCCGCCGCTCTGACCTCTGCTCCACTTCCTCAAAGCACAGCTGAATGCGGAGTTCCCCTCCTCCATCCTCCCCGGGGCTCCTGCGTGTTCCCGCACCAGCCCAATTCAATGGCAGCCAGGTGCGCCTCCGTAACCACCGTAGCCTTTCGCTTCTCTTCTCGTTAACCTGCTCCTTCTGCTCCCAGGCTCGCTTACTGGGCGGTTACAAACAGCTCTTGGTGTGATGAATAAAAAGGGTATTTAGATAACACGGACAATACACAAAAAGGGTTCACAGAGCTGCTTCAAGATGAAAAAAGTTCCAGCCCACAGTGTGTGTGGGGGGACTAATGTGCCCCGGGCATGTCCTGCTGTGTGAGAGGAAACTGGTTTACCCTCTCTGAGGAGCAGCTGGGCAGAATCCCAAACTGTAAAAGACATAGCCTGACTCAGCAGTCCTACCTTCACCAACAGATCCCGAAGATGCCGAGCTGTTACTACAGCACCACCTACAGCAGGAAAGACCGGGAACAAACGCCCAGCACTGAATGGCACAGCCACACACCAGGCTGCAGGCAGCCGGTAAAAACAAGGATCACAACAGCTACTGCTTCCGTGAGACCACGTGCCAGGCGTGTGAGCACCTGGCGGGCACGTGCTTTACCTCCGACCACACCCTGGGGGACAGGGGCCACGTGGCCCCATCACTGATGAGCAGCCGGAAGCCGGAGAGGCCGCCACCACCCCTCACAGCTACTTACTTTTCGAGAAGGCTCTGAGGGGCGGCTTCCGGAAGGCCTGTGGGAAGTGGCTCAGGGCAGTGTTTCCACGGTGATGGAGGCTACAATCAAGCAAAAAACGAACCATTAGACATTGTTTTTTGTGGTTTTTTTTTTAAATATATTTTATTGATTTTGTACAGAGAGGAAGGGAGAGAGATAGAGAGCTAGAAACATCGATGAGAGAGAGAGAGTCATTGATCAGCTGCCTCCTGCACCACCCCCTACTGGGGATGCGTCCGCAACCAAGGTACATGCCCTTGGCCGGAATCGAACCCGGGACCTTTCAGTCCCCAAGCCGACGCTCTATCCATTGAGCCAAACCGGTCTCGGCTAGACATTGTTTTTTTAAGTTAAAACAATTAGATCAACTGGCAAATTTTGAATCCAGTGTATAGATTCAACAACATTACGGCATCCATGTTCATTTCCTGGTTTTGACCATTGTACTGTGGTTATGGACCAAAATGTCCTTAGCCCTCGCTGGTGTGGTTCCGTGGGTAGAGCATCCACCTGTGGACTGAAGGGTCCTGGGTTCGATTCCGGTCAAGGGCACGTCACTCGGTTGCAGGCTCCTCCCCAGCCTGGACCCTGGCACAGCCCCTCTATGTGGCTCCCTTTCTTACTCATTCAGTTCTCTGCTCAGATGTTTCCCCTCCGTCTGGTCTGTCCTGACCACCCTGTGCCCAAGAGTTGCCCCTCTCAAGCACTCTCTAATCCCTCCATTACCTCCTTTATTTACTTATCTTTATTGGTGAACTTTATTTCCTTCCTAGCACTTCTCACGAACTGAAAGCAGCAGAGTCTATGCATTTATTCACTTGTCAGCTGTCTGTGACCTGGATGGATGCAGGGTTCGGACTGCCATCTCTCGGCAATGAGATGAAGCCCGAGGAGGAGCAGGCAAGGTCAGCCAGCGGTCTCTCCCTCCGTTCAGGAAGCAGGTGGCCGAGGGCCCCCCTGTGATTAAGCACCCCGTCTGATCGTGGGGCTCAGATCTCAGGTCGGCCATGCGTTAGCTGTGTGACTTTAGGAAAGTTCTTACTAATTCCAAGCCTCAGTTTCTCTGCCTGTCCCTCAGAGTGAGACAATTGTGTAAACCCCTCGGCCCCAGGCCTGGCACCTAGTTACACACTACTACACATTAAAGTTACATATATTGTTATAGATATAGTAAAAGAATTTACATTAACCTGCCCCACACTGGGATGGCCATGTCAACTGTCTCTGACGAGTGTCCATGCTGACTGGTCTGTGCCCTTATTGTCAGTTATAAAATATTTAAAACATTAGTGTTAACATTGATTTTTAGAAAGAGAGAGAAACCCTGATTTGTTGTTCTGCTTATTTATGCATGCACTGGTTGCTTCTTGTACGTGCCCTGAACTCGAAACTCTGGTGCATTAGGAGGACACCCTAACCCAGTGGTCGGCAAACTGAGGCTTGCGAGCCACGGTTTGCCGCTCTGTTGACTAATGAGCTTGCTGACTACTGGCTAGGGGCTTAATCACAAGGAACAACAACAGCCTGTCATTATTGGAATGGAGAACCTAGGTCAGTGGTCGGCAAACTCATTAGTCAACAGAGCCGAAGTTTGCCTATCACTCCCCTTAACCAACTGAGCTGCCCGGACAAGGCCTAAAAGTATTAACATCACCTCTGGTGGTTACATTGTTAACTAAGGCTGTTAAATCTCTCCTGGTTCTAAAGCTGTGGGAGTTCTAAAAAAAACAAACTGGCGGGCCTCTTGACAGCCTGATTTCATAGTCTGTCTCACATTATTTCTGGGTGTTTTCTCTCCTACTCAACTGGAAAGGCCTACTCTTCCCATAGTCCGCGGGCCAGGGCTGGCAGTGGTGGAATATATACCGGTGATGGCAAGTCTTACACAACCAGCCACTCCCGAAGCACCAGTCCTTACTTGCCCGAACCTGAGAATTATCGCGGGCACTTAGAGCCCCCGCCTACACCTGCTGAGTCTGATTTGGCCGCAGGACAGGGACTTAACTGGGACTCTCTATTTCTAAAACATATCTACCCCATTCTTTTATCAAACATGGCCTCAAGTTTTCACCCTAGATGTAGCTTTCTCTTTGTTCTATTGCCTGTGACACATCACCCGGTTACTGAGAAACTTCCCTGCCATATAGGGCTTTCATTGTGTGTCTCACAGAGGCTGCTTTACTGAAAAACTCAAGAAAATGTTACCTTTAATTAAGTTTTTTGTATCAATATAGTTGCCTTCTGTCTTGAGATGTAATATCTTTGAATACTGAGACATCTTATTGTACCCAAGTCCTTATCCCTCCCAATCACTGCTCCTAAATCTAGTCTTTTGTACTTGCATTGGTACTAAAAGTGTGACTCCACACACCCCCCTTCTTAAAAAAATATATTTTTATTGGTTTCAGAGAGGAAGGGAGAGGAAGAGAGAGAGAGAAACATCAATGACGAGAGAGAATCCTTGGCCGGCTGCCTCCTGCACACCCCACAATGGGGATCGAGGCTGCCATCCTGGCATGTGCCCTGACCAGCAATCGAACCGTGACCTCCTGGCTCATAGGTTGACTGACGCTCAACCACTGAGTTACGGTGGTCCGGCGACTCCCACCCTCTTTTTTTTTTTTATGACAATCAGTAAACCCTCTTCCTCATTTAAAAAATATTTTAGGAATGTCACTTTTTAGTCTCCCCAACGCATGACACGGTTTAAAAGAATTCATGGCTGACGCAAGCAGCACACCTGGTAAATACACCGAAACCATAGAGACCCGCCTGTCCGCATCCTACCAGCTACCACCCAAACGCAGCGGCCGCTCCTGAGCGACTTCTGCGCGGTCAGTCAAGGTAGAGCGAAGCTTTTCTGTCAAGGCCATGACAGCTGTGCTCCCTGCTCAGTGCAAACTCAGTGTCTTTGACTTCCCAAAGGGACGGCGAGCGGGGGCCTCGGGTCCCAGAGCAAGCTTTGGTCACGCCTATAAAACAAACCAGCCCTGCAGGAAGCACAGCGCTGCGTCTCACACCTTCCTTCTCAGAAACCACACCACGCAGCTGACCCTGAGTCACACTGCCATTTTCCGAGACTCCGACTTTTCCCGAGCTATGGGGAATAATAATAATAATAATAATGAATGCGCCGAAACCGGTTTGGCTCAATGGATAGAGCATAGGCCTGCGGATTGAAAGGCCCCAGGTTCGATTCCGGTCAAGGGCACGCACGTACCTTGGTTGCGGGCACATCCCCAGTGGGAAGTGTGCAGGAGGCAGCTGATCGATGTTTCTCTCTCATCGATGTTTCTAGCTCTCTATCCCTCTCTCTTTCTCTCTGTAAAATATCAATAAAATATATTTTAAAAACATTTTTTAAAAAATGAATGCTCCCACGGTGGGCAGCCTGAGGTCCTTGCAGAGAGAGAGAGAGGGAGAGAGAGAGAGAGAGAGAGAGAGAGAGAGAGAGAGAGAGAGAGAGAGAGAGAGAGAAAGAGAGAGAGAGAGAGAGGGAGGGAAGGAGAGAGGGAGGGAGGGAGGGAGGGAGGGAGGGAGGGAGGGAGAGAGAGAGAGAGAGAGAGAGAGAGAGAGATAGAGAGAGAGAGAGAGAGAGAGAGAATATATGAGAACACATGCTCTGGTCGGGAGAGAGGGAAGGGGGAGAAGCAGAGAGGGGAGAGGGGGAGAGAGAATGTGAACATACGCTCCGGTCGGGGTCCTGGCTCTGCTAGCCGCTGGGTGGAAACGAGCGAGCCCCTCCCTCCCCCAGGGCCCCCTTTCGCCACCTCCTAGGAGACCGGGATTGTCCTCCGGCCCTAAGGACCGACGGGAGTTGGGAGCCGCCACGGTAAACGAGCCCCCAGTTCCCTCTCCTACGCTGAGCTGACGGGACTCAAACCCGTCGCTCCCAGGAACGAGAACCCGAAGTGAGCGCCGCCCGAGGGCCTCCCGTCCGGTGCTCCCCCGCCTCACGCCGGAACGCGAACCCCCGAGGCGGCCGGCCCGCCCCGCCTCTTCTCGCCCGGCCTCGCCTCAGGCGGCGCGCGCTCCTCCCTCAGGCTTCTTCCTTCTCTTTTCCCTCTTTCTTATCCCCATTCTTTTCCCTCTTTCTCATCCCCACGCCCACCCAGCCGGCGAGGGCAGAGCCGGGCGCTCAGACAAGACCCAGACGACACCCGGGCCGCCCCACGCGGCGGCAGGCGCACCTGCCCTCGAGCTCGCGGTGAGGGTGGGGGACCCCGTCGCCCCCGGAGCGGCCCCCAGGGCGAGCCCCCCGGCGAGGAAACACGAGTCCTCCCTCCCGACCCCGCTGGGCCCGGGCCGCCCCCCGCCGGCACGGTACCTGCTCCGCCAGGGCGCGACCTCACGCAGCCACCTCAGGCACCGCTGCCCCACGGGAGCCGCCATCTTGTCTGCCCCTGCTCGGCGGGCCACGCCCCCTTTCGCACGGTGGCGTCACGAGCCTCGAGCTCACGGAGCCAATGAGGAACGAGGAGCGGATGTGGGCGGAGTCGACTGCGCTCCTCCCCCCCAGGCCGCCCCGCCCCACCAGCGTGGGGCTTGGAGGCAGCGGACTGGGCAGCGGGCTGGACAGGGGGCTGGGCAGGGGGCTGGGCAGCGGGCTGGGCTGGGGGCTGGGCTGGGGGCTGGGCAGGGGGCTGGGCAGGGGGCTGGGCAGCGGGCTGGACAGGGGGCTGGGCAGGGGGCTGGGCAGGGGGCTGGGCTGGGGGCTGGGCAGCGAGCTGGGCAGGGGGCTGGGCAGGGGGCTGGGCAGCGGGCTGGGCAGGGGGCTGGGCAGGGGGCTGGGCAGCGGGCTGGAGGGGGCTGGACAGCGGGCTGGGCAGGGGGCTGAGCAGGGGGCTGGGCAAGGGGCTGGGCAGGGGGCTGGGCAGGGGTTGGGCAGGGTCAGGAGGCGCTCTCTCCCCTGTCCTAAACCTGGGCCACGGAGTAGCGTGGCCAGGGCGGGGAGAGGTTCCTATCTCCTTATGTAGTTATGTATTTTTCCTTTTAGTTCTGACAATTTTTATTTAACATATTTGAATGTTTATGAAAATTCGAGATTGTTATGTTTTCCTGCTGGATTTGCCCCCCCCCCCCCCCCCCTTAACGTATTTCAGGGAGGAATGGAGAGATAAAAACATCAATGAGGAGAGAGAATCACTGATCGGCTGCTTCCTGCAGGCCCCACACTGGGGACGGAGCCTGCAACCCGGGCTTGTGCCCTGAGGGGGAATCAAAAAGTGACCTCTGGTTCACAGGTGGATGCTCAACCACTGAGCCACTCAGACCAGGCTGGATTTGCCCTTTTTGCCATGATGAATGACCCAACAGCTACTGGGCATCGCTTTCTTCTGAAATCTCCCTACTGCCACTAGGGGACAGAATTAGCCTAACATTTAAGAACCAGCACTGCCCTAACCAGTTTGGCTCAGTGGATAGAGCATCAGCATATGGATTGAAAGGTCTCATGTTCAATTCCTGTCAAGGGCATATACCTAGCTCTCTATCCCTCTCCTTTCCTCGCTGTAAAAAAGTCAATAAAATATATTAAAAAAAGAAAAAAGAAAAAGAAAGAACCAGCACTAAATCCCTGTGATTTTGGGTACTGAATGGTGGGGGCTGAGCGGCATTATGGTTGTGGGCCCTTTGTTTGCCTTGAAGTTTTTTTCACCCCCTCTATGCCCTGTCCCCCTAACCCCCACAATCACACACTGTTGTCCATGTCCAGGAGTTGAGGGAATTCTTAGTTTGAACTAGTCCTCTTATTCTCAGGAGGACCTACCAGTGCTAAGATTCTGTGATGGAAAATGTTAAAGGAATAAAAGGGCCTTAACTGATAACTGGCCTCTACCTTCTAAACAAAGGAAAAGTGTAAAATGCTCCTCAAGTAATGGTGAAACACAACAAGTGCAAGGGCATAGGCCCGGGCTGCGGGCTCGATCCCCAGTAGAGGGCGTGCAGGAGGCATCCCATCAATGACTCTCATCACTGATGTTTCTCTCTCTTCCTCTCTCAAATCTACGGTATTTTTTAAAAAATCAATGGAAACAATATTCTCAAATAAGAATTTAAGGAAAAAAAGCCTCATGGTAGGCACAGAAGGCACCCAGAGGTGAAGTGCTAGAGTCCTGGGCACAGGACTATTCTCAGGACCTGGTGACCGCTTTGGGAGGTATAATGCCTGTTTTGATTATAATTCTGTGACATCTATAAAAAAAAAAACACACAACACAAAACAGCCTCATGACATTACAGGAACAATTTTAACTTATTAATGCCAAGTCATGAGAATAAAATAACAGCCTGGAGGGTTATTGGAAAGGTTTCAAAAATTCTTTATTTTCATAAATTAACACACATAACAGTGGGAATTTTAGAGGCACAAACTACCAAACAGAACAGGAGCTGCGGGGGCATCATGTATGCCAATGTTACCAAAAATGTACAAAATCTCACTGAACTATTGACCGTGATAATATATAAACACGCCGGGCAGCTGCGTACTGGCCAGCCCGGCCCACGGAGGTGCGGAGGCCTCTCACCACAATTCAAATCCGATTCAGCACCAGAGAGGGGCTCGTGAGGACGCACAGTGAACAAGCATCGAGACTGACGGTGCTGCGCTGGACGGCGGGCTGGACGGGGCGCCCTCTGCCTTTGCTGCCCGGGGGCCGTCAGAGGACATCACATTTGATTGGAATAGAGCAGCCTGCTCCCCAGCCAGCCTCTGCACGAGATCAGCTGTGGTGAGGGAGCCCTTCCCTCATCTGGCCGATTATTTAGACTTTGGATACAGCCACCCACAAGGTGGCGATTAAGAGGTCCTTTCCATGATACCAGGGGGAAAAGCTTACAGAAACAAAACAGGAGAATTTTAAAAAGCACCAACTGCATACACCTCCCGCCCCGGGGACCGGGAGGCAAGGACAGCTGCCTGAAGCTGGTCTCTCGCGGACGCTCGTGCGCGTGGGACAGAGATGGCGTTCTGGCCCGGCGAGGCGAGGCTGCACCAAAGCTGGAGGCCCCGCCCCAGCCCGGCGTCCTCGGGACAGCTCCTGGCCTGGCGGGCAGGACAGAGTGGGGGTGGGGGGTGGAGGGGATGGGGACGGAGGGTCCTGCCCGGGGGATGGGATCTGGAATTTACCTCCGACTGGCTCTGGCACCCACTCAAGACTCTTTCAGGCAAAACTGTGACAAAGTGTCATGATTTCCACAGCTCTTGGAGGAGCACAGAGTTTGGGGATTCACAGCATGAGTTTCTGAGCTTTTCAGGCTCCAGTAAGGCAACCGCTACATGTCTTTCCACTGCCCCTCCCTCGGCTGAAGCCCTCAGAGTAAGGTCAGTAAGAACAAGTGGACATAATCTGGTTTGGAAGGGGATGAGGTATGAAGGACTGAAGCTGGAAAGGGGGCCAAAGGAAAGGACGGGGAAGGTGGGTGGCAAAGCAAAGACAGCTACAAGCTAAAAGACGAGGAAACCCATAGTTCACAGACTCAGCGAAAAACTGATGGGTGGAACCCCAATTGGACCTGAGATCTCTCCTCCCTTTCCCGTCTTAGTGACCCTAAACCAGAGCCGAGTGAGTTATAGTTAACTAGAACTCCCGCTACTTCGGAAGGAAACCCCCAAGCTTAGGAACTGTACCAGCGCCCACTCAGTCATCAGCCGTCCCCACACACAGCGCTGCAGCTGGCCAGCCAGCGGGGAGGACAGGGGTTAAGACACTTGTGCCTCAGCGTGGCTAGCGCCCTTCCAGCGCCTCTAGGTAAGCAGCTGCACGTTCGCAGTGGGGGCCATTCTTAACTCTGCGGCAGGGAAAGGCCTGGCCAGAGCACAGGCAGGCTTCTCCCCAAGTTCTCAGGACAAAGGAGGGAGCTCCGGTCTCCATTTCCACCCATTCTCCCCTCCCAGAGGCCAAGGTCCCAAACCACTGCAGCTGGCCCAGACAATGCCATGCCTCTCCCAGGCAAACCTGAAGCCTGAACTGTGATGCTGGTGATGCCACAGCTGTGCCCACCTCAACTTCAGCCTGCAGGATGGCGTGGCTCCCACATCGCTGACTCGGCTACCCCTCGGGTGCCCGCAAACAGGCTCCGGTGACTCACGGGGAGTCTGCGAGCTTGTCCAGCAGTGCTTCCCTGAACACGATTGTGCAAGGGCCACTGCATTCCTCACCCTGCCCTGAAGCAAGACAGCAGCCCCGCGGGCCCTGCTCCAGGACCGAGTCCACACAGTCTAGGCCACATGGACGTGCAGGGCGGAACGGGCTCGCTCCCTCAGAGCCGGGGTGGGGTGGGGGGGGAGGCTGGCCTCCTGACGCTGTCGGCCCTGGCCTGGGAGCCCGGGGGCTCCAGGTGCGTATGGGACGTGCTAGGCTGTGTCTGAGACAGACGTGCCCTTTGATTTTTCCGGCTCCTGTCCTCTCTCTGCTGCAGCATGGCACAGACTGTCCACCTGCAAAGGAAAGGCACGCAGAGCCCTCCCGCCCACCTGTCTCCCCACTAACAAACGAGGAACAAAAGAAACCTGGGAGACACATCCCAGGCGGCACGCTCGCTCCTCTAACAGGCCTGCTCCAAAGCATCTGCAGCTCCAGCCAAGGAATGTCATTCTCTGAACTCTTGTTTTGAGAGAGAGAGAGAGAGAGAGCGAGAGAGAGAGAGAGCGAGCGAGAGTGCGCGCGCGAGAACACAAGGGAAGAGGGGAACGGGACAAAGGATCGCACACAGGGATTAGTGGGAAAGGAATGAAACCTCTGGGCCTGCTAACCCACACGCATCCTTCTGCCCAGACTCCCGTGGGCACACAGCAGCTCAGCAAGCACCGGCATTCCACATTCCCAGAAGGTTCGACACAGGAGCCCAGAGCAAAAGAGGTGTCCTCAGCGGTGCCAGCCGTGGGATTCCTGATCCCACCGCAAGGACACAGTGCTGAGCCTGAACTGTGGGGACACCCCCCAACCCCCACTCTCAGGGCCGGCTGCTCCGACAGCTGCAAACAGCGGGCCGGCCTCTTCCGCCGCCCGTACTGTTGTACCCAGCTTTGTTACATTCCAACACTGCAGATAAAATCCATTAAAAGACCACACCCAGCCTGCACACTTTAAAAATGATTGGGAGAGAAACCTGCTCTTACTTCCGTCATTAAAATTAATACATCTACTTAGCACGCAGGAATGAGGGTCCAGAGGAAAGAAGTGCTCCCTCTAACGAAGTGCACGAGAGAGATGGGGAGGGGACTGCTGAGACACGCGGGTGGAAGCGTGTCTCTCCACTGTCCCAGACTGGGCCCGACGCCTGCCATCTATTCTGCAGACATGTATCATCTTTCTCCTCAATGTCTTAAAAAATTGTTTTAAAATCACATTTAAAAGGCTCTGAACATGCAGCAATTAAAAAAAAAGGAATAAAACAAATGAAAAAACACAACATTAAAAAGTGCAACTTACTTTGAATGGGGCCTGGATGGCCCCTCTGGCACTAGTGACCCACAGTCACGGAGGGGAGAAAAAATGATGGGAAAAAGACACACACACACATATGCACGCACACACACACACACACACACACACACGCACACCCCAGGTTCTGGGCAGAGGGACTCAAAGGGCAGGGTACACCACAGGCTTATCGCTCCTCGGCTACTGAAACGAGCCTCGGGGCCCCTCAGGCGAGGACGCCAGGCCCCCTCCCTGGGCAACACCCGTCAGCCATCTTGGTCTAGCACCACCGTAAACACGTGACGCTCCCACAGGGACGCCGAGGCCGGAGCCCGTGGAATCTAGTGTCGTCCAAGGCGCGCTGCGGCCCCCGTGTGGATGGCACAGAGGTCAGAGGTCGCTCAGGACCACGTCCAGAAGGAAGGAGGCTCCGGAGGCTCCGGGCGCAGCAGGAGAAGCAGGGGGCCCTCGTCACCAGTTTCTAAAGAGGCTGCACCTCGAGGCAGGAAAAAGCCGTGGGTCACAGTCTGGACAGTCTGGGCACCGGGCCAACCTCTTCCATGAAGACGCGCCATCCTCAGCACCCCGGGGATGGCTCCTCTCCCTCCTCCTTGGCGAAGAAGGTCTCCAGTTCCATCAGTTTCTGTATCAAAAGGGCATCCAGCTCTCGACTCTGCAGTGCTGCCTTCTGGGCTCTGGTGAAGCTGCCCGTCACCTTGACCTTCCCTCGAGCTCTCCTCTTTCGTGGGACGGTGAAATCCTGAAATTCTAGAACGCGCTTCCTCTTCTGTTGGCTGATTGAGATGAGCGTACCGTTTCGCTCCTTAGGCTCCTCAAAGATGGTCTCTAGACACCTGAGGGGGGGACAGAACACAGTCACCACCGCACCCACTCACAGCGCAGCTCTTCCAGTCAACAGGGGCCAAGAGCTGTTTGCACTGACTCCCAGCATCTGTTTCCTCTGGCCAGTATCTTTTTTTTTTTAAAATATATTTTTATTGATTTTTTTACAGAGAGAAAGAGAGAGAGGGATACAGAGTTAGAAACATCGATCAGCTGCTTCCTGCACACCCCCCACCGGGGATGTGCCCGCAACCCATGTACATGCCCTTGACCGGAATCGAACCCGGGACCCCTCAGTCCCCAAGCCGACGCTCTATCCATTGAGCCAAACCAGTCTCGGCTGGCCAGTATCTTTCTATAATATTTAGTGTGTGTATATGTGTTTTCTCAACTTTATCACGGTGTAACTGAAAACTGAAATTGTAATATATTTAAAAGCATATAATGTGACTTGATATAACTGCACACTGATAAAGGATTCACACATTGGGGTTAACACACTCATCACCTCAAAGATTTACTTTTGGGGGGATGGGAATACAGTTCAATGACCTGAACTGAATTTAGACCCAGAGGCAGCCAAGTAAAACCTTTTCTGTGTCTGGAATCGTATCTGAATAGCAGTGATTTTTAGTCTAAAAGACAGCCAGCATATTGAGTAAAAACTCCAGGACAAACTAAAAGGAAACTACATTTTCTGTATCAACTAACCCCAACATACATTTCTTTCCCATTCCACCACCGACCCCAATTCAAATGCTGGGAACTAAAAGCACCGATTCTAGTAATTTCCAAGACCTGACACGGGAAGAACTGTGCGTGCCCGGTCTGTAGTTAAAGAACTGGAGATTTACAAGGATCATCTCAGAAGCCCTCCCCATCTATGATGCCTACTCCTATGTACCTACCTGTTTGCAGGAGGAGACTTATAATTCTTGTTGGTATATATTTCTTCCAAACTGAACTCCTTTTTCTTTAACCTGAAACGAGAACAAAATGTTTGCCTCTTACGAGAGATAAGATTGGCTTCCTCTGTCCTTTCCATTCATTTACTTTAGACCTTTCTGCAGTATGTTGTAGATGTGTTTCATGCACTGGATTCCCCCCACCCCCCCAGGCTGCCATTCTCTGATGTTATGACATTTAGCTCATTTATACTTATTGGGAATGATAGAGCTGAATTTCTACCTATTTCCTTAACTTACTGCTCCTTCTTCTATCCTCAATTGATGCAACCCCAGCCCCTACCTCACTTGCTTCTGTCTCTCTTACTGCCCGTCTCCTGGCTTGGAAGTCATACACTCTTCTATTCTTTTAGTGGTTGGGGAAAATGTTATGAGTGTATTGCCAGAGCCTCTGGCCACGCTGCCAGTGAATATTCTTGAGACAATCTTAGGAGTAAAACAGCTCAAGAGGATAGGTCATTAAAAGGCCGTGACCTTATGCCAAACCATTTTCCAAAGGAGGGAAGCCATGTGACTTGGAGGAAGAGCTCACCTTTTGGGACGAGGGAGGCCCATGGGGGTAAGATTAGGGTCTGGCTTGGGAATGGTTTTCCGGATTCGAATCTGGGAGACTTTCTTTGGCCTCTTCTCGGGCTCAGCCTGTTTTTAAGGGTTAAAAAGAAAGATATGTCAAGTTGTAAGATATTTTTAAAAATATAGTCCCTTTATTTCACCCTCAAGATCTCACAGCCTCCATTTACAGATGACTCTAATCAGCACTTTATGACAAAGCTTCCCCTGCTGTGCCTGCCACCAGTGTTTTCAGCAGCTATCCTGTCTTATATTAAAAGAGAACCCTATCATTATCTGTTGGAGACAGCAGATGTAGCAAAACTGAAAAACACCATCATTCCCTCATCCTCTTTGAATGCGTGAAGCAGCGCTGTGGTCTAGTTCTCTAAACCTTGTTAAATTCTGCCATTAAGAAAAAAAGGATCCAGAAAACAATGCAGATTAAGAGATCCAGAGCATCCTTTCGTGGACAAACAGAAAACCTCCGGTCTTGGCCATCTCTGGTCCTCAGCTGAAGCTCAAGGTGGTCAGCAGAGGCAGCCAGGGCCCCTGCGTACCCATCACGTGACCCGCAGTCATCGATGGCCACCTCCGGTGCCTCTGCGGCCTGACGCCACGAGCACGTCACACTCACCTCTTTCTGTTCCGGAGGGCTGCTCTGCGGCCGGGGGCGCGCTGCCGTCACACCATCCAGCTCGTCTAATCCGGGAACCGCGAACTCCGAGGCTGACAGCAGGAGCTTGCCGACGGCCGAGTCTGCTACCAAGCGAGACTTTGGTGCCAGCGCAGGGAATGGAGGCTCTAGCCTGGCAGCGCCGAGAGAAAAGCACAAGACAAAGGACTGGACTCACCTTCTACCTCAGCACCCTGAACTTAACTCCCAGACTAGGGTTGAGGCCTTTTGCCGGCAATGACATTTCAACCTGATCTCCAGTCACATCCGGGCATGGCCTGTGTGCGTTTACAAATATTTACAAGAATGCAGTCAATCCATTTCACTGGTACGGAGCAATAAAATAAGGAAAAAGTAATGAATAAGGAAAAATGTAAGAAGGAACAGATGTTTGGGAAGGGAGAAGACATTTAGTGAACTAAACAAATGAAATGCAGGCAGAGGAGATCAATCCCATCCAGGCACCAAAAATAGCCTGAGAGGGAACTTACAGTAGAATGAGCTGGCTGAGTGATTTTGAGCCCCCTCCCCCTTATTTGGTATTGATTACACATTCTTGGTTGCTACTTATAATGAAACACATTTGAATCTAAGATTCAACCTGGTTTAGAAGAAAAACAAAAGTTCAGAATCATACCAGGCACGATCCACAGCATCGCTACCATTTTTTCTCTCCCCCGCCCCCCCCCCCTCTCTCTCACACATACACACACACACACACTCAGTCACTCAGTCACTCACTCCACAATTCCTCATGTGCCAGCACATTGGACGTACCTTATCGGACTGCCACTGGCGTTGTAAGTAGCTTCCATGCCTGGAAGAGGCACATATGGTAACATGGTGTGGCTGAAGCGAAGCAAAAGTACATGAGCAATAGGTTAGGGCAGCGGAACAACAGAAAACGTTTTGATGTCATTACAGGTTTAGCACAGGACACTCAATCAGAGCCCTAGGCAGATAAGAAATGTCAGTCCCTCAGGAAGATGACAATCTCTCGGTTGGGAGCATCTCATTCATGTGCTCTCCGCCAGGATGGAGGCGGGCAGATAGGGAGATTCTTTTCTCACTTAAATGGAAAGAAGGTAGAAATAAGCAGAGGACAGTAAGAGAAAGGAGGGGAAAAGTCATAAGGGCAACATAAAACATGTTTCAAGTTTCTACTTATTCAAAGGGTCACAAACAGGAAGATATACCTATTATATCTAAATCAGATCTTTAGGTTATAACTCTCAAATTCTTTTTCTTCTCTAATTTCTATTAGAAGGTAAAATGATACTGATGGAATTATTTTCCTAGTGATCAAACCATGAGAACTCTCTTCCAAGTTCACGTCAAATCCTATATATTCTACAACTACAGTATATAAATGCCAATCTTGGAAGCCTTTCTGTTCCAGAAAGAAATGCAAAGGTTCACAAACCAGATTTGGTGACATCTACATAATTGTTAAAAAGGTATTTCTTTGTATCCTTTACACACCAAACTCTGAATTAGGTGCTGGCTATATAATACTTTGTGAACAAGTTACAGCTACAAGCCATTATTGGTCACTACTCAACGTGTAATGTTGTTCTTTTCAAAGGAGGGACAGAGGAGAAAAGAAATTCAAAAGACTTGATGGTTTGCAGAATGAATGGGGCAGAACAAAGAATGCCAAATAAAGGGTTCTGCAGGAAATGAGAGGGGTCAGCATTTAAATTACTGCCCCATTTTCTCCCAGAGACTGGGCAAGGTATAAATATAAGAGTGCAGACACAGCTCCCACCAGCCCTGCTTGTCCAGCAGCGGCCTCCAGCTCCCTGATGGCAGGCAGCAAAGAAGGAACACTTACAAAGAACAGGGGACAGTTTACCTGCTCGCGATGTCCAGAGCTGGCTGCCGCTTGCCGTGAGCGGCATGCAGAGCAGAGGCTTCGAAGGGGCAGGCAGAGGGCCCGTGCTGGCTCCAAACGGACAGCACTCGGCCCACCGAATAGGGCAGAGAACAGAAGATCTTGTCCGCGACGGAGGCCGGAGACCGGAACCCTCTCAGGCCCTGTGTAAACTGAGTCACGAAGAGCCTCTGCATGGCAGGCATGTGACTGGAGAAGCTCCGTTTTTTTGTCCAGATCCGGTAGCATCCCGGGGAACAAAGTGCTAGGAGTGTGTGAAGGCCAAGGGCGGAGCAGCCTGATCTGGCCTGGACCACCGCGGCGCCCCCGCAGTCCCGGAGGGGAGCTGGGGGCTGTGCAGGAGCCTGGGCGTGCGCCTGAGCACGGAGGCCGGTGTCTTCCCTGAACGCGGCCATCCCAGGGCAAGCGTGGGACAGGAAGAAGGAAAAGGTCCACCGGGGGGGTTGCGAAGGGCACGGGGAGGCCTCCCCTAAGGCAAGCCTCGCGGGAGCACAGTGCTCGGGAAAAGTCCGTGGGGACTCAGGCACGCGCTCGGAGCCTGACTTCACGTGAAAGGATATCGGGAAGATTCCAGAACCGAACAGCAGCAGCGGCATCTTGTCGCTCAAATCTACGAAGCTCATTTTGATGGCTTCGAGGGGATACAGTGTCAAGGGCTTACTATGAGGCCTCTGGGCCCAGCTGCTGGCTGTCAGATAGGGGTTCAGCTGCATCATGCTGTCTGAGAATCTGTCCAGGAGCCTTTTACACCGGAGCCGCTTGTAGCTCTTAGCCACCGGGAGCAGCTCAGAGGAACCCCGCCGGTACCTCAGCTTGGGGGTCTTGGGGGCCGGGGCCAGTCTGGAGGCGAGGACGGACAGCTTGCTGAGTAAGGCTGAGTCTTTGGTAGGCTTCCTGGCGTTCAGGCTCCTTAAGAGATGGCACGGGGCAGCCTTCTGCTTTGGTATGTGCCCAACGGGGCTCCCGCTGGGTACTGTTTCGGGGTCCAGTCGTGAGGGTGCAGACAGAGCGGGAGAACTGAGAAACCTGTGCGCTCTGGTGGGGATGGTTTCGGGGGAACTCTTTAAAAAGGCAGCATTCCTGATTTTACTTATTTTCCTCCCCACGTGGGCTTGCTCCTGGCAGGAAACTTTCTTACACGCCCGATGCGGCTGCTTCTTTAAGGGAAGCGCTCCTTTCTGATGGGAAGCATTCCCAAAGGCACCGTGTATCTCGTAACACCTCGCGGAGCTGGCGTCCTGTGACTTCTGGGGGGCGCTAGGAAGGCGAGGACCCATGCACAGCGCCATGTCCTTTTTTAACGGATGACGTAATTTCCCCTCCTGCGGGCCCTTCAACTTCTGAGGCCGTGCGTTCGTGTTGGCCTGGGCCAGCTGTGCTGGGGGCACTTCTCTCATCCTGGTGTACTCACATTTGTAATCCTTAGGCTGGTCCTCATTTTGCACTTCCTCTGACAACACATCACAATGTTCCAATATCGTATGTGCTTCCTTTTGATGGTCACACTGCTCGGCCTTCTGCATCACGGAGTCCAGATTCCTCCGGCTCTGCTGCTCTTCAGTATCACCACGCATCCTCCGGGAGGTGCCACGTATCTGAGGAATCTCACTCCTGCCATCACCGTGACCATCTTCCCTGGCGATCCTCTCGTCAGACTCCTCCCCAGCAGCTAAGGGATCTGGCGGTCCCCTCTGATGTTCTTTGGCTTCTTCCCCTTTCACTTTAGTTTCTGTTTCCGTCATCAAAGGCAAATTCTTCATACTGATGTCAATGCTGTTTCCTTTGCCGGGATTCCCAGTAATCCTTGGTTCTCCTTCCTTCATCTCAGGCAGGACTGTGCAATCCTCAACCTTTTCACAAAGCATTCCACCCTCTTTTGGTTTAGAAATATTTTTTAGGTCAGTGTCTTCACTTTTAATATTAGCTTCTGATGTTTCTTGAGCAGACAGACACAACGGCGTTATCTCAATGGATTTCAGGCTCGCTGGGGGGACAGAGTTCTCATCTTGGTGTCCAGAAGACACCAACTCTTCGGAGGAAATTCCAAAGGTATTTTCCTTGTCAAACTCAGAATGTATTTCTAGTCTTGATTTTTCAATCATCCCTTGTGTTTCTTTCAGAGATGCTTCTTTAACTTGCTGTTCATGATGAATATGATTTGAAGACACGTTTACTCTATCCAATATTCTTGTATTTGGCTCATGATCCGCAATAGACTCTATCTCATTTGCACAAGGGTCTGGACGCACTTCCATTTCACAATCGTTTAACAACCTGCAAACTTTCTCTTCACATGATTTTTTTATTTTAAGTGATTCTACTGCAGAGGAAGTGGCATCTGGGAGTTCTGAATCCTGGTCAATCTGTCCTGTAAATGCAGCATTCAGGTCTCCTCTCTGAGACAGGGTACTCCTTGAGGTTTCAATCAATGCCAGTCCACCTCGCCGTACACCGCCAAGCAAGTCCAGCATGCCTTGTGTAGGCTTATTGTTACAGTTTGTGTAGGCAATGCCTACCCTACCACCTGTGGGCTTATCACAACTAGGAACCCTTTCAAAGCCTCCTTTCAAATAGCCTTTCTTCCGACTACCCCCAGACAGTGAGTTGTTATTGCCTGAACTAAATGGCAGGTTCTTTTGGTGACGGCTTTCCCCTGTGTTAGGCTCTGTGATGGTCTGTCTCTGGTCACTACCTAGTGTCCTCTTAGCTGGTTTATCTTCACTTCTACATGCATCTGGTCTGTCTGGGTTACTCCGGTAGTCAAGGACTTCATCTGTCTTCTGATCAAGCGTTTTAACAGCTTGATTCATGTTTTTAAAACTGGAGCACTTAGCAGGAGACAGCTCCAATCCTTTTTCAGGTTTTGGAATGTTTACAGATTGGTTTAGTTCTTGTGCGGCACAACCAGAGATGTTATATTTATAAGACATAGTCTCTTTGGGTATATTCTGTTCCTTTAATTCTAGCCCTTCCTCCCTGGATTGGATGTGATTGGTGCTGTGAATGGTCTTGTTGGAAGCTTCACTATTTAACATACCTACTGTCCTTTCGTGTCTGATCTTATCTCCTGGAAGGCTGTCCTTAGTTTCTCTTCTGTTAAGTTCACTTCCCTCTGATGTACAACTCACTTCATGGATGCTTCTTTCCACGGAGTCTTCCCTTCCTGGGGAGTAGTGACCGCTGTGCTGAAATGCATTTTCAGAGTTGATTTTCGAAGAGTTTTCACTTTCCAGGATGATTCTTCTAAACTCATCAGCAGCACACACAGAACACGTGCTCTCTCCTGGTGCATTTCCAACACAATGGCAGCTAGAGTGATGCTGAGGTTGAACACTCTGACAATCCATGACAGAGACCGCTGGAGGCAAGACTGCTACTTCTTTCTTACATGACAGAAGTCTGGACTGTGTATCTTCTGTTCTTGAATCAGCCATTTTGTCTTTTCTTTGAGGGCTTCCAGGTTTGATATTTAAGGTGCAATTGTTTGATGAGGCACCACAGGTTTCGTCACCTGGCGGAGAGATGTCTTTCATTTCTGAGTTCATGGGGACGGTCTGGGCATCAGGAAGGACGCTGGCTCCATCCGCTAATGGAGGGTGATGGCTCTGGTGGGAATCCTCGCTTAGTGCTAAAGGCAACTCTTTGTCAGCTGACGATGTCACATGATCTTGAGAATTAAGGGACACTTGATTTAAAACACATTCGCTTTCCGTTTTGTCTAAGACCAGTTCCTCAGTAGAGGGAGGTTCATTCATCTCACAGGCAATGCTCTGTTCACCTAAATGTGGAACACCGTCCTGTGAGGTCTGTACAGACTTTTCTGACCCAGGTCTGCAACCAAACTCTAGAGACGGTAATAGCTGAGCAGCATCTTTCTTGGGTTTTGATTCCTCATTTACAAGACTTATCTGGTCCTCTGGCGTTAAACTCACAAGGGCATTTTTTTCAATCATAAAGTCACTATATAACACTTCACTTAACTGGGTGTCACCTTCCAGATTTCTCTGAGTGCTGACTGCGGAGTTAGGGTCTTTACTGTACATCTTTTCACTTAACATACCAGGCTTGATAGTGGTTGTCCGTTCTGGCTCTTCGATCTGCATCGAAGAGGAAGAACTGCTTTCTTCAGAGTGTCTGCCTGGGTGGCTTATATTAGAAGTTTCGCTATGGTCCTCAGGGTCGGTTAAGCTACCTTGCATGTCTACCGTGACCTTCAAGTCTTTTTTTTTAAACATGACTTCCGTGGCTTCGGGAAAAGACGTGGGCCTTAGAGAACTGGAGCTGTCTGTGTGGACACTGCCTTGAAGGCAATAGCCATTGTGGGTATTTTCTTTCAGGGAGGCAAAAGTCTCTTTTTCTCCAGAACAATGACCACTCACATCCTCTTCTGGTTGCTTGGCATTCACAAGAAAGAATTCCCCCCCGTCAGACCTGCAGTTCAAACACTGTTCTTCATTTTCTTCTCTAGAAGCCAAGTTCTTGCTTTGACCGTTATCATCAACACAGGAACCCTCTGTCTTTTCAGCAGATCTCTTTAGCAAGCCATCACCTGCAAGACTGCATTTTTCTAAGGCTGTTGTTCTGGATTCTGGATCAGATAAACTTGATTGGAAACATGAAACTTCAGAATTTTTTCCTAAGGGTTCGACAGCTACATTTCTCCTGGGGCTGGGACTGCCGGGTGCAGATCCGGGCTTTTCATCATGGTGGTGAGCAATCTGGTGGCGATTGTCATCTGCTTCACAGACAAGGCTCAGCTTACCCAACTCTTCCTTCCCATCGTCCACTTTGCAAATGGCACTGTTCCCTGGTAACAATGACAACGAAGAAGAACAAGGTTTTAATTCTTCACGTGCTTTTTCTTTAGGAGTTGCTTCTGTTGACCCAGGCTTCGCAAAGTTCAAAGGCTCCAGGGAAACTAATGTGCCGGTTTCTGAAAACTCACCACTGGTCATGATTTTGTCTACGTCCGGGTCATCGCTGCACTCAGCCGAGAGATCTTTACTCACGCTGCCGTTCTTGTATCCATCATTAGTATCTGTCTCAGTCCCACTGACCTTCATACCTTGGACTTGTTCAGCAGATTTTGACAGAATTTCAGTTGTAATTTGTTCATTTCCTTCGGCACAAAAGAAACAATTCCAAATCAGCATGTAATCATGAAAAATAAATCCATGAAGGTAGACCAAAGTAATCATGCAACAAACAACAAAAATGCCCAACTTAAGAGAAGAATTGCGAAGTGAGTGCACTAATAAGCCTTTGGTTTTGCTCTCTGCAGAACATGACAAGGGCCACAGTGTACCTGACTGAAACAGGCAATATGGAACATATACTTTTCTCTGAGTGTTTCTTACATGTACTTAGCAGGACAAAGGACTGTGACATGAAGACACCTAATTCAGAGTCTTAAGCAGCTTCCATTCGAAAACATTAACAAATCAGACTCACAATATAACAGCTTATATTATTAGACTACCTTCTTATTACTTAAATAATTAAATACTACAGAAGTCACTGATCAGTTACCTCAGTGGAAATACCTGGAATAATAGCTTCCCTACAAGACTGGTCATGAGCTAGTGGTAATCACTGAAACTGAGTGAGGTACATGGGGGGGATTAGTATGCTCGCTACTTTCGAAAAAAAAAATTGCAATTTGATGCACATTTTCAGTATGAAGATTTGTGAGGGGTAAATACCTCTGATCCTCAGACGATCCTCAGGGAGGTCCATGCATAACAGCTCTTCACGCGACGGCATCCGGGGGTCCTCCTGCAGGAAGAAGATCAGCAGTCAGGGAGGACTCAGAGCTCTGTTGAATACGTGAGCTCATGAATGAGGATTCTCTGTGACTCCAGAAATGCACTAGCAGTCACAAAGATTGGAAACTGAAGGAAACCTCAAATTTAAATAAGAATCATCAATAAAAACTCCCACTTCTCTAGAATTTGAGCTGGAAAAGCCAACTTTCCCAAGATTGGGACAATAGAGGCTTAAAATGTTGGCCTAAAGATCCATACAAAGCCCTATAAATGCCTTCTGAATCAAGAAACAAATTGCTGCAATGTAATCTTAATTTCATTAAAAAATATATCATGAAACTTGATGTACTGTATCTCAGTCCCTAACCATTCAAAATACATACTCAATTTTCTTTCCAAAGTTTCTTGCAAAACTTTGTAGAAGGGTTTGTTTTTTTTTAATTTTATTTTCATCCCCCCTCACATGGGAGGAGGGACTAAGGGGAAGCACATTTCTTCCTACCATCTAGATTTTGTTAGATACTGACATCTGATCATTACTATACTAACACTGCTGCGCAATCTGTCTTGAATGAATAGATTTTTAAGATAAAGTTCCCATGGATCCCTCTTTCAACCTCAAGTAAAATAACTGCTAATGTTTGCAGCATTCTTTCAACTATAGGACATAAGAAACATCATGTAGTAGTGCAACTTGTTTTTCAGGTTGACAGTAAACAAATTCTTTGTCTTGCCCATGTACCATGCCATCTCCCTGACCACTGCTTTGGAATAAAACACAGCTCTGGGACATCTCCAAAGCTTTGGCAGATTTTAGGAGGGTCTTAAAAACCATTCTTATACTGTTCGTCTGTAATCTTATTTCCCATTAAAAACTGGCTGTATGTTCTGGGGGAAAAGTACAATTCTCTTATTCATTCCCATGAGACTAGTTTAGAGCAGGAAAAACACACAAACACTTAAGGGGAGAAATGACTATCCATCAGGCTGTCAGCTTGTATAAACAGGCAGGCCGAAGCTCCTTGGGGCCTGATGGACTGCTGAGCCATTAGCCCAGCTTGTAACCAGACCCTGCTGAGCTCCTCCAAACACGAGCTTCCTGAGGCAGAGGCAGGTGGAAGGGCAGAGATGACGGCCCCCATCTTCGGATGGGACTGCCTATGCACTGAACTATGCAATTATGGGTCCACAACTTGGAGCAAATGAGATATTTCCTACTTCGTGACATTTGTGGAAATAGCCAGGATTATGTTCATAGCAAAGTACACTGAAAATAAAGCAACTTCTGTATTTCTAGATGGAACCCTCCCTTTCCTATGTTTGCATATTTATAAAGGAATGCTGTAGAATGGTAACTATAAGTCATCTTAACAGAGTTTAATAAAAAGGAGTTTCCATCCATCCATCGCAATTCAGAGAAACAACTGGTGCCTTTACATGAGACACCGGTCATGTTAGCTCAGTAAGGCACTTTTTGCTTTTGTTGTTGCTTATTATTATTAAACTAGAGGCTCCATGCATGAAATTCATGCATGGGGGGGGGGGGGGTTTTCCCCTCAGCCCAGCCTGCACACTCTCCAATCTGGGACCCATCAGGGGATGTCCGACTGCCGGTTTATGTCAGTGATTAGCACAATTTTAAAACTGGCAGTGAAACATCCCTCTCACAATAGGACTGCTGGCTTCTAACTGCTTGCCCCCCCTGCCAGCCTGATCACCCCTAACCGCCTCTGCCTGCCAGCCTGATTGCCCCCCCAACTGCACCCCCCCAGGCCTAGTCGCCCCCAACTACCCCCCTGCCAGCCTGGTCACCCCACGCAGCCTGCTGTTCAGTCCTTTGGTTGTCCCTCACTAACCCCCCACACAGCCTGTGTTCAGTTGTCTGTCTGGTTGTTTCAGTTGTGACGCCGCTGGCTTTTTATCTACATATTAGGATATGTACATAAAGTCACCATGGCTCCTAAGAATATTAGTGATAGGAGCAAAGGGAAAAAGGAAAGTTGTGAGAACAATGATAGAGCTTAAAAAAGAAAAAATTGCAAAGTATGATAGAGCGTGTCTGATCTGGCTACCGAGTATGGCATGGTGAAGTCCATGATTAGCACAATTTTAAAACATAAAGAGGCTATCAAGAGTGCTGATGCTATGAAGGGATGAAAGTGCTCACAAGACAACAATCGCAGACACCTCCGTGACATCTTACTCCACAATGCTATCCCTAATCAGAATGCTACCCGAACTTAAGGGACAAGTGCACATAATTTCTTAACATCAGATGCAGAAATACCATATGACTATCACAAAGAGACTCGGTATTTCATACACAGTAGCTGATTCAGAGAAGTGACACTTTTTCATTAAATAAGAACTTCCTCTCTTCAATGGTCTAATATCTTAAAAAAATCATCCAAAAAAGTTAACACCAAAGTCAACATTTTGGAAATGTTTCAAGAATAAATCATAAGCTACCTATCAGCACCTACATGTTAGCCTGTGAAATATGACTCTGGAAAACTATCATTCATACTCAACTCATCTGAATCAAGATCGCATTTCTTACCTGACTTGGGCTGATCTTTCCTTCAGAGGCTGTGGAATGTTGACATGGGCCTCTCTCTGCTCCCTTACAGGGGTCTTTTGTGAGTTTCACCCGGTCCCCTCGATCTCTGAAGACCGTGAGCTCCATGCTCTTGGTTCTCTCTTCCCTATCCAAGGTTCCAGAAGCCACAGACGCTCCTGCCGGGGAGTCCACCAGCCCACACCGCCCAGGCTCTCCCCCTCGATCCGAGGTCTCAGAGGTTTTTTCACGACTCTCCGCATGAGTCCTCTGCAGCTCCGAGGGCACTGCCCTACTCTGACTTACAAGAGAGCTTGAGGCTCCAGGTTTTACATCTGGAATCACCCGTGGCCCAGGGACAGCATGAAGCTCTCTGGAGATGCTTACTGGGAGTTCAGAGTATAATTCCTGTACCACGGCAGACATGGAGGAATCAAGTGGCACTGGCTGAGTCTCTATTCCGGATGACAGCATTAGGGCAGATGGAGAGTATGGAGTCAAGTCTTACATCAAACGGTTCACCCTGACACAAATCAAAGGAAGGGATAAAAGTTTAAAACTCTGCAGGGTTGAAGAAAGCTGTCTCAGCTCAAACTGGCAAAAATAAGGATTATAAATTCTAACTTAAATGCCGACATTCTCTGGCATAAAAAAAAAAAATTGTCCATAATAGACAGAATTTGTGGAAAACAAATGATATAAATTAAAAGATCAAAACAGGCCTGGCTGGTGTGTCTCAGTGGTTGAGCATCGACCTTATGAACCAGGCAGTCCTGGTTTAATTCCTGGTCAAGGAACATGCCTTGTTGTGGGCGTGCAGGAGGGAGCCAATCAATGATTCTCTCTTATCACTGATGTTTCGATCTCCCTCCCCCTCCCTCTCTGAAATCAATAAAAAAAAATATATTTTAGAAAAGGGATAAAAAGTTTCGTACTTTGTTTTAAAGGCACAAGCTTTGCTCATTTTGTTCACTACTAGAAATACATACTTGACACAGAGTAGGCACTCAGTAAATATTTTCTGAGTGAATAGATACCAAAGGACTCTGAAGAATATGAATCACTGGCTTTTCTTTATTAAGACACAGGGTGTCCCAAAAAATGTACACACACTTTGAATAATTATTAATCCCAATAGGTTAAATATGAAGAAAAAAGAAACATCAATTGAGCTATCAGCTGTTAAGTGTATATACATTTTTTGGGACACCCTGTACTTTCTGAAAGAAGATATAGAGAAAATGGAATTCTGTTCCTTCGCTGCTTACCAAACACTTGAGCTGTACTCAGCCAGGCTGGCACAAGACACCACCAAACCAGGTCTTTTGCAGATTCCTTCCTGACTTTCATTCAGCATCTTTAGATTTTCTAAGTGCCTTCACAGTCACCACTCACTAGATTCTCACAATAACTCTGTGAGCTAAGTAGGGCAGCTATCATCTTCCCATTATGATTTTTAAATCACACCGGAAGAGGTTAAAAATGACCTGCCTACAATATTACTAGGTGTTCCGGTTAATAATGCGGATTTTGTAATCAAAGAAAACATGATAATTTTAAGAGAAACATCAAAAGTGCTTTATTCCAAGTAATGTTCATCGCTAGCTACACATTTCCCCCATCTTTCAGGTAATTTGTGGATACCGTCCCAATAGAACTTTTCTTGTTTTGAGGCAAACCACTCAGAGGCCCAATTTTCTACTTCTTCATATGTTTTGAAATGTTGCTCAGAAAGTGCATGCGCCATTGATGGAAACAAGTGGTCAACTGAAGAAGCAAGGTCTGGTGAATACAGCGGGTGGGTTCATACTTCCCAGGCAAGATCTTTTAAACTGTCTTTAACTGGTTTTGAAGTGTGTGATGATGTGTCATCATGAAGCAAAATTACTTTGCTGTGTCTTCTGCCCCATTCTTGTCGTTTCATGATCAAAGCATGGTTCAAATTGACTATTTATTGTCAATAGCAATCAGTATTATGGTTTCACCTGATTTTAGAAGCTCATAATACACCACACCTTCCTGATCCCACCAAACGCAGAGCATTGTCTTCTTTCTGAAGCGATTTGGCCTTGCAGTCAATGTTGATGGTTGACCTGGATCAACCCATGATTTTGTGCGTTTGGGATTCTCAAAATAAATCCACTTTTCATCGCGTCACAATTTGATTTTACTGATGACTTTTCGGTTTTCCATTTGTCTTTCGTTCAGTTGATGTGGCACCCATTTTCCTTCCTTTAAAATTTTTCCCATTGCTTGTAAATGATCGGAAATTGTTTGCTGAGCAACGTTTAATCTTTCTGTGAGTTGTTTTTGAGTTTGACATGCATCTTCATCCAATAATGCTGGTCATTGTTGGTCTTCAAACGTTTTTGGTTGACCTGGACGTTCTTTGTCTTTTACATCGAAATCATCCCTTTTAAAGCATTTAAACCAGTGTTCACAAATATCTTGAGATGGAGCATATTCACCATAAGCTTCCCAAAGTATTCAACAGCACTTTTGTTCAAAATAAAGTAGTGAATAATAACTTCCCGCAAATGCTCTTTTTTTGGCACGAAATTCGACATTTTTAAGAGTAAAAATATTTATGATGTTAAAACCTTCAGCAAATTTGACATATGAAGTTTTGAAGCTTGCTGTTAATACAACAAAACAGCATACATACCAAATCACTTATATGTAATTAACATATGTGTAACTCCATCTATTGAAAAAAAGTCCGCATTACTAACTGGTACACCTGGTACATGGTTATCTGAGGGGAAGGAGGGGGATATCCAGGGGACTTCATTTGAAATGGGATTGTTTAATTTTTTGCATTGGGTAACGAAAACACAGCTTATTTGCTGAAATAATATTTATATTTATGTAGGTCATAATATTATATCATCAAAGTAGTCACACACACACACACACACACACACACACACACGTGCGCACTCACACAGAGCTAGAAAACAGTACACTCACAACCAGATTTCCTGATCGGTAAGTTTTCCATTTTAGTCTACCAATAATGTGTGCAGTTTCCACAAAATCCACTATGACCCGACCAGTGTGGAAACTGATTAACCAGATAACCATGCTTTCTCTAACCCTAAACCAGGAGAGGAAAGATGAGAAGTATTTGGCGACTCAGAGTCTGTTACAAGGATTTATTAGAGGTATTGATGGCACATGCCTTTGGCCCAAATACACATGGAAAAAGGGACCTTTCAGAAAGCCAGCCATTTCTCCTCCCCATTTCCTAACGTCCAGCTTCCCCCAAATAAACATACTACACACCCCTAAATACCAGTGCTGGCTATTGACTGTCTCACGTTCTCTTCACTGACCATAACCAGGTTTCTGAGCAGCAGGGACTCCCAGCACACCATGTAAATGTTTACAACTGCGTTTCCTTGGTCCCAGTCTCTACTCCTACCTTGATTATCTGGGGAGCCCACTGATGTCACTCATACAGATGTCCGTGCTCTGCCTCCACGGGAAGAGGCACACACTAGGAATACTCCTGTGCGGACAATCTTTCCTCCTAGCACAGAAGATCCATCCTCCCTGTGTTATCTGGACCGAAGCTGGGGGCTAAGGAAGGACAGAAGACCATCCTCTCATTCTGGACCTTTCTGCCTTTCTCTTGGTTTCCTAAACTGGTGGATGTTTTATTCATGTCCCTGTGATTTCATCCACTGGGTGGATTTTTTAATAACATAGAATCTCAGTAATGACATCCCAGTCACCCTAGAGCTCAGACTTGAACTTTAGACCTTCCACGTGCCTTCATGGACTCAAAGCCAGCGGTGCCTCTAACAAACCCCACTCCTTCCAACCCCCGTGGTCCTAATTGAAGATTTGTTCTGAACACAAACTTATGCAAAACGACATCTTTATCACAGAGAGGCAATATTGATCATCACATAACGTGGCTCATATTCCTCAGAGGAAAGGGTATCTTTGCCATTCTAATGGCTCCGTATACACTGTAAGCTGGCACTGGCCAAAACTCAATTTTAAACACTCTGGTCACCAAAAGATAATTTCCAATTTACAAAAGCCAAACACCACATCATCACTTCTTGGTGCTCTTATTTGGTAGAGACAAAATTCCTATTCTTTTCAATCTGTAAAACAGTGAGGCGCATTGGCTGTGGAAGCAAAAGACAATCTCTCCTTTCTCTCCTCGCCCAACTCTGGGTCCTCCCGTTTCTCAGCAGCAGCATCAAGAACAGCCCAGTGCCTTGGCTGGAACCCTGAGACGGAGTAATATTTAGATGCAAGCCTAGAGTAGCAGTACAAAATCATTCTCAGCTCACTAGCTTGCATCACTAAACTCTTCTCTCAATTTTTGCCATCTATTAAGTTATTGGTAAGGCCACAAGACTATAGGAAAAGATCCCAAATTTTACCATTCAAGTTTTTAAAAATGAAATCTCTGAATACAATGGAGCAATTAAAAATGGTAAAGAAATATAGTTCTACACAGAAAGTTGCTTGAAATATTTTATCAAATTATATAAACATCAGGACTCCTTTAGGGAAAATATATATGCATATAGGAAATGTCTGAAAGAATATAGGCCCAAGAGTGATGGGATGATGGGCGTTGGAATGATGGACGATGGAAAGTGATGGGTGATGGAATCATGAATGACATCAACATATGTTGTACTTTTCCCCTTTTTTATAATGAGTATGTATTACATATGTTTAATTTTTTTAAACATTGTTTCTCAAGACCCAAATATGTAGCCAATAACTGTAAGTGCATTATGCCTTTAATTTATCAGTATCACCCCAAATGTCAGCTCTCTACTTCAACCACAAAAGTTTTTATATTAAATGTTCAATAAACTTCAAGTAAGAGGAGAGAATGTAGATAGGGATTTAGGGTTTACCAACCCATTAGGTAAGAATATCAGATAATTATCTAATTTGAGGTATAAGCAAAAGTTAACCTAGAGAATCAGGAACAACTCTTACCAGCTGCTATTGGCTTCACCTTTACCGTAACATAAATAAGATTTAGACTGTTTAAAGAATCGATTTTTTCCTAAAGGAAAAAAAAATGACTGATATTTATAAGGAGTATGCAGTAGAATTCTTCCAATAAAAGAAGAAATCCTTTTGAATTGAGAACAAGTAAGCTCGGATCTTTGTGTTTCAAATGCAGCAGCAATGCTAGGCGCAGCCTAGATGCTGGTTTTCCTGTTTTCCAGGGTCCCTATCCTGTCCTGCATTCGCTAGCAGCCAGGCCTGGAGTGTGTCCCTAACTTCCTTAGGCTAGTTTTTCACACGTAAAATTAACACATTAAACAGAACAATCTCAAAGGTCCTGCCACCCACAACAACCCCGTAACTCGAAACAAAACTGCTCTATTTCACTGCTTTGGCAAAGCACACCCAAGGCATCAACAATGGTGGTTGGTACAGAGCCCAATCCCCGGGGCACCACTCAAGAGCACACGGAGGTAATTTAAGAACGCTTTCCATACAACAAAAATGAAAGCTTCTAAGGTGTCTCTGGGCCACCTGGCAGTGCGAATTCCTGTCCCACCAAACAACAGCTCCAGGTGGTGGGAAGACAACCGGGAGAGCCAGCGTGGCCTCTCTCCATCTCCATACGTTTTAAGGCACTAAGAACCTGACAAAGGCCCAATTTTTACTTTTAGTCCTTCAGGCAGTCCCCCAGACAGAAGTTCGGGGAGTACAGTCTGTAGCACTGAGAAAAGAAATGGGGGTGGGGGCTGGGGGAGAGGTGGAATCGCACAAACAGCAGAACAGAAACCCGTGTGCCCCCATAATCCCAAGTCTGAAGGTCTCCCCTCTCTTTATTCCCAGATGCAAAGGGGCTGCTCGGACCGGAAAGAAGAACGGTGAGTCACGCGGGCCCTCACAATGCCACAATGATCAGGCCCCCAGAAGGTTCCCCACCCTCCCTGCACCCTGAGAAAGGGGCTTTCTCAGCCCGAGATCAGACACGGTAGCCAACCCCTTCCCCCAGGGAATTCGGAGAAGGGGGGGGGGGCTCTTCTTAAGGGGTTAGAGACAGAAGAATCTTTTCACCAGATCTCCGTACACTGCGAGTGGGGCAGGGAAGCCACACGCGGATCGGGGCCCAGCTCTCCCGCGCGGGGCGAGCGGGAACTCTCAAAAGCATCCCCCACTGCTCCCCTTTGCCTCCCTCTATTAGCATGCAGAGAGAGCCCCGTCTCCTCCGGGGAGGGACGGAGCGCAAAGGACAGGCTCTGCATAAAAGCCTGGGGTTTCTTTTTCAGGGGAAGAGAAAAGAAACCACCACCCGTCCGTGCTGCTCTAAATAGACACCAGAAAAGGGTCCTGCGCCCGAAGGCACTTATTTTTCTTGGAAGAGCCAGAGAAACAAGTTGGACTCTCCCTCTTGGGGGGAGGGGGGAGGGGACCATGGAGCTAGAAGGAAGCTTCTCACCGGATCGAGGACAGGGAGTGGGAGAGGATGTCTCCCACCGGGGAAGGAGGGAGATAGCTCCTGGGAAACAAAGGAAAGGCTGGCCTCCGTTCCAGGCCTCCCTGCCTCCTGGAGGCCAGACTTGCTTCCAAAGACAAGGCCTATTTTCCAGATGGTTCTAAAGTTCACTGGGGGGAGCGGAGCAGGATCTAAAAGGATTAGAAGCGCCTCTCTCTCCACCTCCTTTCGCGTGAGAAAGAGTGGGTCGAACACTTGCGATGTGGGAGTGCGTGGGGGAGGGGGGTGCTGGGGAGGGATGGGTTGGGGGTGATGAGAGGAAAAATCAGTTTCTCTGCAGAGGAGATGAGCTTCCTTTTTAAAAGCAAGTTAACCTGTTACAGTAACAGTTCATGGCAACAATGGACCAAAAGGTTACAACGACGTTACTAGGCACTCACACAGGGTCTCCTGGAGCCCTTGGGACAATCTGCCCCAACCCGAGGTGGGCTGGGGGAGAAAGGTGAAGCCATCGATCGGTCAAGGTCACCAGGGATGGGGAGGAGCAGACAGGGGTCCCGCATCGCTCTCACTCCAGGCGCCAACCGTGCAAATGCAAGGAGCTCCGTGCACACCACCAGCCGTGGGGGTGGGGGTGGCATTGGTGGGGAGAGGAGCGAGGCGCCCGGCCTCCGTGGGCAGGATCGGGGGAGGGGGAGAAAGGCTGGCTTCGAACACCCTACATCCTGGGTTCTCCTCCGTGTATGTCAGGGTACAAGTGAGAAATAAAGGCGTGAAGACAGGTCTACCTCCCACAGGGAAGGGAGAGCCCATCCCCTCTGTCACTTCCAGGCAAGTTGAGCCTCGCTCTTCACTGGAGGGGCTGGCGCTGACCAAATTGGAGGGGTGGGGGGGAGGTGTTTTGGGGGGGCGGGGGTATCTTTTAAATAACCTCCTTAAAATAAATCCAGAATCGCCCTCCCGCACCCCGGGAGCGGGGCTCGCTCCGCTGATGGACGCACTGGCGCCGGGGCAGAGCGTCCGCCCAGGACTGGGGGCGTCGCTCTCCCCGAAGGAAGTTGGGGGTCTCCGGCCGCGGCGAGGTGCAAGAGGAGCGTCTCTCCCCCGTCGGAGCCATGACTCGGGGAGGCCGTTTCCCCCTCGCGACGCGGGCGCCTGGCCTCCTCCTTCTCCCCCGGGGCCCCCCGTTCCGCCGCCCCGCAGCTCCGCTTCCCTTCGGTACCCCGAGAGAGAGTGGGGGGCCGGGCTCCCCTCCACCTGCCCCTCGCGGCGGAAGGTCCTCTCCGGGCGGCGTGGGGCGGGGCGGCGGGGCCCCAAGCCCTCCCGCCCCCGCCTCTTACCCTGAGGCCTGCTGCTCCACGGCCCGCGCTCGCCCCGCCGGCCGGGCCTCGGCAGCCGCCGCCCCGCCGCCGCCGCCGCCAAGTCTACCTGAGCCTGCGGAGCGCCGAGAGCCCGGGGCGCTCCGGCCGCCGCCACCTCTTCGTCTCTATGGTCCTCGCCCTCCTTTTCCTCCCCCGACCCCCCCTCCGCCCCCTCCTCCTCGTACTTCCTCATCCGGGGCCGGAGACGGCCATGCGGGCTCGCCTTAAGCCCCGCCCCCGCGCGGTGCGCGCGCACGCCCGCCGAGGGGCGGTCCTCCCAGCGTCGGCCTCCCGCCCTCCGCTGACCCACCGTCGCTTTAGGCCCCGCCCCTGCGGCCTGCGCTCTTAAAGCGGAACACACCTTTTTAGGCTGCTTCTGCTGAGCACTCCTCCCAGGGTCCAGCGTCTGTCTCAACTGAAAATACCCTGGTCCGGTCCACCATTTCTCTGGCCTGACGCTGCAATTCTAAGGACTTCCTGCCTCCCACTAGTCTATGGCGGTCCTAGAGCTCTTTATAACTGGAATCAGTGTTTTAGGTCATGCCACTCCCCTCCTCCTCCTAATTATGTGGATCGCTAAATCTCAATAGCACTTCTCTGCCTCCTCTCTGCAAGGCTTTAATGTATTCATAGGTTTCACAGCAGCTGAGATGGCCCCTTTTCAACCGTCTATTCGCTATCAGCTGTCCCTTCCCACCCTTGTGCATTGTGTTCATCGTTCTTTGCTGGGTACCTAAGGGTGTCCGCTCAATAGGTATTGGAAGGACAGTGTCAAGGTTTGGGGGAGACTTTATTTTCCCCTTTTCTGATCAAGGTATCTCTGAGCCAGCCAACGTGGCGGAGGTAACAGTTTTCCCAGCTGTAGTTGGGGCTAGCGATACATCCAAATCCAAATGCTGGGACAGGCTAGTGGGCCAGGACAAGCGGAACAGGGGAACAGTTAAGTGGTCAAGCAGTTTACAGCCATCTAGGAAATCACAAAATCGTATCTTCTGTAACCAAGGACACTTAAGAGTAAATGGTTTGCCTGGCTGGTGTGGCTCAGTGGTTGAGCATCAACCCATGAACCAGGAGGTCACCAGTTGATTCCTGGTCAGGTGCATGCTTGATGCCAATAGGGGACATGCAGGAGGAAGCTGATAGATGTTTCTCTCTCTCTCTCTCAAAAGAAAATCAATACTTTTTTTTTTTTAAGAGCAAATGGTTTAATTCTCCCCAACCAGAGGGTAAATAGCTTAAATCATCCCTAAGCAGTTTGGCTCAGTGGATAGAACGTCGGCCTGGGGACTGAAAGGTCCCAGGTTCGATTCCGGTCAAGGGCATGTACCTTGGTTGCGGGCACATCCCCAATAGGGGGTGTGCAGGCGGCAGCTGACCGATGTTTCTAACTTTCTGTCCCTCTACCTTCCTCTCTGTAAAAAATCAATAAAATACTTTTTTAAGAAGAAAAGAAAAGCCCCTCAAGATGGGCACTTTCCGGCAGGGGCGATCGCACTGAGTCACAAGAGCTTAGCCCTTTGCAAGTTACTTGAGTTCTCCCAGAAGCGATTTTCGGCCTCTCAGCAGCCCCAGGGAGGCCAGAGGAGGGTCCACACATAACATCCCCCTTAGAGGCCCGGGAGACTCCGCTGAACTTGCCTCGTTGCGGGGGAATCGCTACATTGGAAACGAAGACCTCGGGTTCGTACTCGTTTAGAAACGACCAGAAGGTCAAGGCACATTCTCTAAGGGGCTCCCTGAGGTCCCCAGGCCTGCAAAGCGGGACGTGCGTGGGGGCAGCGGAAGCTGGAGGACGCGCGAGACGCCCCGACCCCTCCTCCGCGCGAAGCCCCGCCCCCCGGCGCGAGGCCCGGATGAGGAAGTCGCGCGGACAACGAGAGGAGCGGAGGCCGGGCCAGAGCGGCCCGGGGCGGGTGGGCGGGAAGGGGGCGTGGCCGCGGGCGGAGCCACCGGCGCGGCGCGGGTTCTCAGGTGAGCGCTCCTGCGCCGGGGCGGGCGGGTCGGCGGCCGGGGCTCGGGCACGGAAGCTGCACGGAGGAGGGGGAGGGGGTGGGGGCGATCGAGGCGTAGGCAGTGGCGTCCCGGGGAGACGCGAGGGACCTGGCGAAGGTCCGGTCCCCGGGGCCCCGGGCTGAAGCGGGGGAAGAGGGTCCGGCGCTGCGGGTGAGTGTAGAGCTGCCAGCCGGGGCCCGGGTTTGGGGAACCAGAGGGAGGAGGCCCCACCCCCAGCCCGCTGTGTGACCTTAGGCCAGACGCTGTGCCTCTCTGAACCTCTGCGGCCTCCGCTGTGGAAAGGAGGGAACGTGCGGGGGACCCGCTGAGAGTTTGTGTACGGATGGAGGCTTCGGGGAATGAACCCTTGTCTTCCTCCCATTTTATACCCTTTATTTGCCCAAGACACGGATGGCCAAACAGGAACGGTGGCAATGCCTCTGATTGATTCTGGCCCACTCAGCTCCAGCCCACGCTTTCCTCCCACAGAAGGAGGGTGCTTACCTTTTAAAAAGCTCTGTATTATTTGGGTGCTATTGGTGGAGGTCCAGACAAGGTAATGCGTGCCCCCTGCGCGCTCCCAAGTTCCCCCGGGAGGAGTGTGGTAGAGAGGATGTCTTCTTCTTGGAGGTAGGACGAGAGAGAGCGTGGCCCGGATTCTCTCCTTCCCCAAATTCTCTGGTTCTACGTGTCCTCCATCCCTCCTTGTCCTGGGAGGCGTGACGTTGCCATCCAGCGGTTCGGTGCCTCCTCTGAGCTGGCAGCAGCAGTGGGTGCGCGGGGTTCCCATCCAAGGGCCGTTTGCAAGGGCAAGTCCGACAGCCCTGTTTGCGTTTCTCCATGGCAGGGAGGCAAGATGTCTTCTCTCCCCCGAGCTCGGAACAGCTGAAGGAAACCACCGCGCAAGATGAGAACAACGAAGGTCTACAAACTGGTCATCCACAAGAAGGGCTTCGGGGGCAGCGGTCAGTATCCGCGGGGAGCGGTGTGCGTTGGCGGAGGTTCTGGGGCGTCCAGTGCCTTGAAAATGACCCACAGGCTCGTGTGGCTATGAAGGCGAGGCAGGCAACTTGTCTGAGGGAAGCAACAAGTCTAATGCAGTAGTGGAAGGGCAGTTGGAGCAGAGAGTACAGACCTTCTCTTTCTTTTCTTTCTTCCTTTTTAAAAAAATATTTTATTGATTTCAGAGAGGAAGGGAGTGAGAGCTAGATACATCCATGATGAGAGAGAATCAGTCATCAGCTGCCTCCTTCATTGTTCAACCACTGAGCCATACCAGCCAGGCTGCACTCTGATTTTTAAGGAACATTGTGAAGATTGCCAGTTTAACACCCTTCATTTTTTTTGTAGTTTTTATTACACATTTACTGTCCATGTTCCATACAATTCCAGCCTGCACTGGTTTGCCAGAAAAGAGAAACTTACATTCAGTGAGAGAGAAATAGCAGATGCATGAGACAGATATGATCAAAGCATGCAGCTTTGCATGGCTCTGAGGCCATGTGAGAGGGGCAGGTGATTCTAGGTATATCCTCATGTCCGCTAGGTCCAAAGGTTCATTTTGAGGGTCATACGAAGACAGTGCCTTTGGGTCATTTTGGATAAATACAGGGTATTGTCCTGCCCTCCCCGCCTGAGGGGGTGGCAAGGACCCCGTGTGAGGACCGCACCACACCTGTCACCCACATGTGTGTGTGTTTCCCGCCTGGGACTGCCGGGTGTCTTTCAGACGATGAGCTGGTGATGAACCCCAAAGTGTTCCCGCACATCAAGCTCGGAGACATCGTGGAGATCGCCCACCCCAGCGATGAATACAGGTGGGTGCCTGGCTGGGCTCGGGAGCGCACGGCGCTGTTTCCGAGGAGATTGTGTTTGAGGGGCTTGACGGGCAGACAGCTCTTTGCCTTGGGATAAAAACGCTCCTGCCCTCCAGGATTCGGTAAGCCAATAATCTTTTAAAAAGAGGAGCATTCTTTTTTTTTACTTTATTTTATTTTTAAATATATTTTTATTGATCTCAGAGAGGAAGGGGTACAGAGAGAGAGAGAGAGAGAGATAGAAACATCAATGATGAGAGAGAATCATTGGTCGGCTGCCTCCTGCATGCCCCCTACTGGGGATTGTGCCCCCAACCCAGGTGCGTGTCCTTGACCGGAATCAAACCCGGGGACCCTTCACTCCGCAGGCCGATGCTCTATCCACTGAGCCAAACCAGCTAGGGCTCTGTTTTTGTTTTTTATTAATCCTCACCTGAGGACATTTTTACCCCAGTGATTTTTAGAGAGAGTGGAAGGGAAGAAGGGGAGAGAGAGAGAGAGAGAGAGGGAGGGAGGGAGGGAGGGAGAGAGGCGGACATTGATTGATTGATTGCCTCCCACACAAGCCCCAACTAGGGCTAGGGACTGAACCTGCAACTCAGGTATGTGTCCTTAACTGGGACTTGAACCCTCGACACTTGGGTGCGCCAGCCAACATTCTAACCACTGAGCACACTGGCCAGGACCATTCTTTGTGTGTTTTTTTTTTTAAATATATTTTATTGATTTTTTTTGTACAGAGTGAAAGGGAGAGAGATAGAGTTCGAAACATCAATGAGAGAGTCATCGACCAGCTGCCTCCTGCACACCCCCTACTGGGGATATGCCCACAACCAAGGTACATGCCCTTGACCGGAATCGAACCCGGGACCCTTCAGTCCCCAAGCCGACGCTCTATCCATTGAGCCAAACCGGTCCCGGCCATTCTTTGTGTTTTTGAAGCTGAGTTGACAACTCTATGAAAAATTCTGGCAGGCTGGAAGAGATTCCTGGGGATGGGGGCGGGGGGGGGGGTGAACTATGTAATACTTTCAACAATAAAGATTTTAAAAGAGGAGAGAGAAAATTCTGTAGCGTTTTCCGAGCGCAGGTGCAGGATTACTTTGTTGTACTGCAGGTTACAATATGTCCAGAGCAGTCTGTTTGCCTTTTGGAGGGGGTTGCATGAAGGAAGCTAATTAGTTACTGCTTATAGCATCCCATCTTTCTGTTGCTTTTCCCCAGCCCTCTGCTTTTGCAAGTCAAGTCACTGAAGGAAGATTTACAGAAAGGTAAGAAAAAAATTCCATTTCTGTTCGCTAAGATTTTTATATTTTACAATCTCAGAAACTGCAGGAATCTTTCTCTTTTT